AAGGGTCAGCACCCCCTCTTTGGACATATTACACAAAACATTGGCTATTGTCGCTCATGTGCAATATTCTTTTCTCTCACTATGCAATAACACATACCAACTATTGTGTACCCTTTGTTTTACTTATTTATAAGGTCAGCACATATCTGCTGTACAAGTGCAATAATCCAAGTCAACTACTGTGTAGTCAGTTTAATTTTCACTTATTTATATGTATATGGTTAGTATATTTCTACAGTGCAAATGCAACAACTACTGTGCAGATATTTTAATATCTAAGGGAAAGATTTTACAGGACATTACAACTTTTTTCTTTCTTTTATACTTTTTTTGGTACTATATACACTCTTTTTATAATGCGCGTCATATTTTTATCTTTGATGGCATTTTACTTATCTCTTTGTATTCTATATACGCTATAGGAACCAGAACTTCCCAAGGAGTAATTCCAAGGGATAAATAAGGTTGAGTCTATGTCTAATAAGTCAAAGTGTATTGTTCCTCACAAGAGAAATACGGCACTTTCTCTACTGCCCTCATGATTGTGATTAGTCTCCTAACTTCAACCCGCCCCTTTATACATGCTTGTTCACAGTTTCATGATCAGTTAAAGCTGGATTGAGTTAGCAAGTTAACAACCAGCTTCGTGGTACTTCTGATCCTGATTAACATTGTTATGGGTTGGTTAAACTGGATAAGCTGGAAGTAAAACCTCTAGCTTGCCTTGTGGCAGGGGCCTCAGGTCTCTTAACAACTTGCAATCGTGATTCTCTTTCCAATGTCAAACTTGTTTTTTTAAATGGATGGGTGCTTTAGAATCACCTTAGAACTTTTAGTGGAGAGTCATCATTTGCTGTCCCATCCTAGATAAATTATGTTTGAGCTAGCTCCCCTCAAATTTTGGTTCTGCTTTCATTTCCTGTCAGCAAACAAAAGTGATTCATGCACTGAAATTGCACCATCAATCAAACTGTTCGACTGCAGAAAGCTTGTTACCTTCATTCTGTGAAGCTATATAGTTTTCATGGACTGCAGTTTTACCTCTGAAACACTATTTTCAGAATGAAAATAAACCACTTGAAAAACGTTCATCTGTGTAAGAATGCTTAGCTCGTGTTGGTATTTCATTGTAATGCAAGTGCTCATGCCACATAAGCAATTTGATATGCTTTGAAACATTCATCATTCCATTTTGTATTCGTCTCATTTGTTTACCGTCCTTACAGGTTTATAAAGTGTATCATGAATTTTCATTTCTCATTTTCAGCATCTCCTTTCTGACTCCTTACTGCTTTCCTTTAGACGGGCCAGCTGTAGTGCTTGGAGGTCCTGCATCTCCTTTGGCGGTGGAGGTATCTGATGTCAACAAGAACTATGTCTTTCTGACCTGGCAGCCCCCCAGCGCTGATGGAGGATCACCTGTGGAGGGTTATTATGTGGAGAGGTGATAATCACTCTGATCTGAACTGTACTTCATATTTGTTCTCTTTAGGTCTCTTTTGAAGAGGTTTTACTTTTCAAAAGAGACCAACCAGAAATGAGATGCTTCACTCCATTTTGTATGTCCAATAAGTTCAGAGAAATAAGTCAAAGTATTTTAATTTATCACCCTTGGCAGTACTAGCAGCCAATGGGAATATGTGCAAGGGGTTCTTTTATTTTTTTCTAAAAAAAAACAAAACTATTTTCTGTTCGGATACATTTACCTATAGTGAGAATTGTCAACATATCTACTTGTATATTCTGTTCGGGAATGCCTGACCCTCCTTTTGAACATAGAACCAGTTTTTATTTTTTTTATTTTTTCTGTATCAGTAAAAACTTTTCTGCATATTTTTCACTTCTCAATTAAAAATTTCTTTATATTACATTCACTGACTTACACAATTACACACATTTATACACTGACAGTTGGAATTCATTCTAGCCACTGCTGCCCTTGGGCAGACTGACAGAAGCAAGGCTGCCATATAATCGGCTCCACTGGGCCCTCTGACTATCAACAACAATAATAACATTAACAATAAATAGTATGATAATAGAATGTGAGAAATGTTTTTTTTTTTTTTTCAAATTTAAAATTCAGATGCGGTGCATCTTTGCTCTGAAGCAATACTTTGCAGAAATTATTTTCAATGTAATTACAGTCGAGCTTCTGTTGGCACTTGTGTCTACCAGATTTACCCATCTAGAAACTGAGCTTTTTGGCTTTGCCTTCTTACTTCTGCATCTGTTCTACCCTCTATTCTAACTGGTCTAACAATACCTGTCGTAGAAAAACATCTTCATAGGGGGTTTAGATGCAATGGAAAATTTACAGCAGGGTTCTGTCTGTGTGTTTTAGAGATAAGCTACTTTTGTGTGACCAATACATATACATGCCTATTTGGTGGAAAACTCTGATGTTTCCTGATCTGGGGAAAAATAATGCCTGTCATAATGACTTTTTTTTTTTTTCTCAAACACTATTTATTCAATTTTTGTCTGACTTAGTATGCTCAATCATCCAAAACTCTTTGCATGTATGAAACACATTTCAAGATTTATTATAGTAAGAAAGATTAGTAGACAAGTGAAAATCAGATGGGGAGTTGGGGCAGAGCTATTAATGAGGTCTGCAGGTTTAAAACCATGCACTTTTCTTTTCTTTTCTTTTTTTTTTTTTTTTTAGCTTTTGGCTGTTTGCGCTCCGAAAATGTCTAGAACACACATTGCACTGTTCCAGAGATTTTCAATTACTGGCTGTTGTTCCTTATTTTCATTCTTACATACAGCACCAATTTTAACACCTTATATAAGGAAGTGTATGATCTTCTAATTGGCTCTTTATTAATTCATTAAGTACATGTGGAGTTTCACTGAGTTATTTAATTATCTCAAGTACCTCTGAAAGAAGTGAGATCCAGCAGATTTCTGGTTTGAAATCTGCCTAAAAATAAAAGCTGTTCTGTTGCAGGGACATTTATTCTGGGTAAACAAGCTTCAAAATAAATATATATTTGATTTAGTCACATTTTCTGCTCTACTCTTGGAAGTGTAAGGCATTTAATCTTCACAGATCTGATTATTCCAAGAAGAAGAATAATGCACATCATAACTCTCCAAGCCATTCTTTGTTTAAAAGGTCGAGACAACACAAAGTTGCTTTGCATTTAAACAATGTAGTTAAGTATTTGGAAAATGAAAAGTAAAAAAAAAAAGATAGAAATTGAACAAGTATTAAAGCAGCATTTTTGTTTAATTTCCAAGTCTTCCCACAAGCTGCTTTTATTTCCAAATCTCTAGAGTGATTTTGTATAGTTTTACAAAAATAAAGCAACTTTCTGAAGTGTTTTTGCTTCCAGTTGTTGCTGAAGGTCATTATTCTTTGCCAAATTTTCTTCTCCTGATTTATAACTATTAAAACAATAAAAATAAAAAAAAATCCACTGGTGTAAATATATGCAAAATCCACTGACATTGCTATTTCTCCACTCTCATCTCTTAATAGTTTTGAAATTGGAAATGTGTCACAACACTGTAAAAACTGGCAGATCCCCCATGTTAAATTTATTTATTTAACTTCTAAATTCCACTTGTAAAAATTTTTTCTTTTACAAATGTTTTCCAATAAAATTTTGCTTGAATAATTTATTTATTTAATACATTATTGAACAATTAGTTATCAATTAAAATGTAAAATTCTATGTTAAATAATTAACTGTCTCATTAGATGATTGAATATGTAGAGTATATAATCAAAATAAATTATCATGTTCAGCTGGTCACCAAAACAGGATTCTATGTAATTTCAAAAAAGTGAAGAAAAAAAAAACATTGGACCTTTTTTCCAGAATTGATAACATTTTGCTTTCCACCTAGAAAGTTTTTTTCAATTCTAAATGAAAGAAATAACATTGAGTTTTAGGCTTTATAGAGTGGACCAAAAACAAAGCCTTGTTTTAGCTTAGTAAACATGCAAATTGAAGCAGACAAATGGGTACGCACCTTAGAAATGGGCAGTCATTTGGATTCTTTGTTAGGCTGCAATACCCGATACCTCTCTATATCTCTGAAAGGGAGTCGTTAGAGGGAAATGTTGGCCTGGCTGAACAGGCGAGGTGTTTTGTTCCCCTGTATGGGGATGAGGTTGCAGTGATAAGGATGAGGATTCTATGTCACTGTTATTTTGGGGAATCATCCACTGAAAATTACTGTACATCTGAGATTATAAAGGCTTCAAGTGGTTGTAGTGCACCTCCTATTGTTATAACCTTTCTGTCTGAATCAGAAACATGCTGGTGTTAAGCAGAATACACTTTATGTCCTGACATTGCCAATAGCAGAAGTGACTCTTTGGGCATGTTAATTAGAAGCTCATTAAAAGAGCACACATAAAACAGTCTGAAAGAGATTAAAGGATCAGAGTTCATTCATATCCGGGAGATACAGGTTTTATGCCTTAAGAAGAACGAGTCTGTGTCATGCGTGCATCAGTTTTGGTGTGTCTTCTGCAATATTCTAGCCTTAATTAGAGAAGATAAAATTCACGACTGTTTTAGAGTTTTGTGCGAAGACAGGAAGTAGTGTGAAGCAATCCAGTCCCCAAGGAACCTCTGTTTTACTTTTTTCTGAATTTGTTAAATGAAAGTCATCTTGATTTTTATAAAGTAACTTTTGCACGTTGGAGTTGGAGGCATATAACCCTTCTCAGGCTGAGAAGGGTTATATGCCAAGGTCTACACTTATAGCCAAGGTCTACACTGAGATATCAGTGTAGGGTTTACTGATTTACTTTGTTATTGTATAAATTTGAAGTATTTTATAGTTTGCCTTGCTTGAAAATTGTTCACATCAAATTTCTATCTACTTATTTTAAATCTCCAATTCTAATATAGTTTTCAATTTCTCTGTACTTTTATAAATGTTCCTGCGAGTCTGACAAATCGCTTTCTCCCATTTTTAGATGTGACCTTAGTCAGGGAGAGTGGGTGCGCTGTAATGAGTCCTCACAGAAAATGTGCCACTTTCCCATTTTCGATCTGAAGGAAGGAGCATTTTACCAGTTTAGAGTTTGTGCCGTAAATAAGGCTGGAGCAGGACGTCCCTCCAAAGCCACAGAGCCTGTCCTCATCGCAGACCCCCTTGAACACACCAGGACAATGGGTAACACCTACGAGCTGCTGCACTATATCATGAATATATGAAATGATGATGTTGATGATGTTGGTGATGTTTATATGATGCATTGACTGAACTGAATAAGATTAACCCACATTTCCCTAACTACTCACTTTGCTTATGCTACCATTTCCCCTAAGCTTTCTGATCTAGGTCACATGGATCATTATCTATGTAGCCAAATATAATATTGAAAGACAGAGTTTATTATATGCCATCTGAAAAACAATAATGTCCCAGAAATTGCCTTTTTGCAACTTCTGACTGACAATATTGTGCACCTTCATATTTCCATTGGGATTGGATGATACACACCGGTGTGCATTTCCAATTACACCATAAACAAAATCCACATTAAGAAAACAACGATGAGAGCTATAAAGTTACAGTAGGGAGTCCTGACAAAACTGTGGAGTACAGTAGTAGCCGTTCAAAATTTCCCCACTTTCCTTAATGGGTCCTTGGCTGGTCTCCTGCAATTCCTTTTAAACATCAATCTTTGTACTATATTCTTTCTGTCATGATTTGTGGAAACTAAGATCTAAAGAGAAGCGTCATCTCCTGGTCAGACCCTGTAATTCAGTGAAGGAGTAGAGTCAGAGTAAAAAATAAGAATGCCCAGGAGGAGGAATCACTCCAGTTGGTGGAAGTTGGAGGGGATTTTGCTCGGAATTGCAGGGAAGTTGGCTGCCATTCGGCTGCCGTTTGACTGGGAAGGGCCATTTTGAATGGCTGCTACTGTATATATGACATGTTTAGTAGGAGGGACAAATATCAACATAATGCTTTAGATTGAGGCACAGCTACAGCACTCCAATAACTTGAACCTGAACAAAGGTACGCAATGTCTACGTAGGCACAATTATCTGCCAAAACTTTATAAGAGATGCTATTTTGCTGCCTTTAATGCTTGCATTTTTTCAGTTTCATTTTTTTGTAGCATATTTCTTCCGGTACAAAATGAAGTCTAACATTTTTTAGCTATTAGGAGTTACTAAGGAGACAAGACTGGATGCTGAAAATTTTAAATGTGACACAAGGCGATAATTTGGAGTGTCATTCTCTTGGCTGTCAAACCCAAAAGCACCCATTCAATTTCTAAACAGGATATACACGGTATGTACCTTCAGAAAAGAAACACCTGCACAGCTCTGGAGTCCAATATCAGCATGTTTTACAGCCCCTAATCCTTGCTTCTCACTCTGCGATGCTATGCCTGAATGCTTCTACTAGGCCATGGAAACCACTTTGATGATGCTTTCAACACAGTAATTGGCAACCTATGACCTCTTACCACTGCACAGCTCAGGACATTTCACAAATAGACCCTCTGGAATACATAGCAACATGTGTAGTAAAAATATGTGAAAGGAAAGAAACTTCTGGAGGATTCTGCTAAAAAAAAAGATAGTTTATTTCTAGTTACTGAAGTTATACATATTAATGGATTATTAGCAATATTTAATAATCAAGTAGAAACCCAATTAAACTTTTCTACCTTAAAGTTTGCTTTTAGACCTATTTTTCTGCATATTCAAAGAAGAAGCTTAATGCCATTTCATGTCTCTACAGCCTTCTAATTGCTTAAAAACCACTATATGTTTGAAGTTGAAAGGAATTTTGCCTGAGGCTGCAATTAACCATAAAACGTCAAACAATGTGGTCCTTTTGCTTTGTGTAGAGGCTTCTGTATGTCATCTTTCTATGCCTATTTGTTTGGGCTTGTGCTTTGTGTCTCTTGACATCTGCAGTGTGCTGCAGCAATCATCAGCAATGCATTCACGACTCCCTCCTGCTGTTTATTCACCTCATCTGCCTCAGTGGCCCTGTTATACCTGCAAAGAAATGATCAGTGCCAGGCAAAACAGATGTAGGCGTGCAGATTTAGATCTCATCTTCGCACAGCCGCAGGACTTTTTTGCAGCAGCATTTTAATGGCATCATTGAGAAGAATTTTGTTTCTTAAAAGATTACATAAATAGCTTTTTTTTTTATATTGGATTCAGAGCAGGGGTTGAAAGGATGAATGAGATTTGTGTGTGTAACAACAATGACAAATGGGCTGTGGTCATAAGGTTTAAGTATTTTCTTTCCTTTTTGTCTTGCTGTCTGATCATCTAACATTTGCATTTTTTTCCCATAACCCCAATATCTCCTTTCATTTACTTTCCTGTCTTCTCCTCTCTCAGTGGTCAAAGTTGATCGAGGAAGAACCATCACCATTACAAAAGATGAACTGGAAGGTGAGAATACTAGGTTCTTGTTTTAGGTATGATTCTGTCTCAATAGGAGCCTTTCTAACCCAGCATTACAGTATGTCTCACTGGAACACGCAGCGCCGCCCCCTTACCTGTAGGTTGCCGCAGGCTCATAGCTTTAATGCATCTTCATATTATGTTTAAAAATGAGCTTCAGTAATTTTACAGCTGAAGAAATGAGCATTTGCTCCATTTGCAGCTGTGAAAGGAGGAAAAAAGTCCCCAGTGGTCTCCCAGTAAATGACCATAATGGCACAAAGTAGAGTGAATATCTATGAAAGAGGCCAGATAACCTTGACAGTGTACCTCACGTACAGAGATGTGTGAATGGTTAGAAGAAAATGGCGCCACCAGAAAATAACTGCCGCCTAAAGGATGCAATCATGCATTTAGATTCTGCTCTATTATGAAGCCCTAGATCTGCATGCATTTACCCAGATGGTAAAGCTTTTAATGACATGACATCGGTAGCTAATGCTCAATCAAAATCAGCTTAAATAGCCTTCTCTTTTAGGGTCATTTTAACATAACTTTTTTGTTTGGCATTTTTCTGTGCATATTTCTGATTTTTAACATGCTTTTTTTCTAAGACTTGACTGCTACTATATAGGATTCTGATTTATCTTTCATAATAAAGAAAATACAGTTTGTAGGTTTTTGTTGCCTTACTTCTGTGACTGATCAAATTTCTGCTATGACAGTGTCTTCAACTTGATTTGTAAAATTAATCGCTAGATTCATTTACAAAAGGTCACATTAAATCATCACTTTATTTGTTCTCTTCTTCGTTTGTTTACTCCTGTTATTTAATTACTTATGAATTGATTTATTGAATTAGAAATGTATTTGTTACATATAGTCATTTATCTATTTTGATAGTGTATGTTATTTGCGCAGTTTGTAATTGATATTATTTAACAAATCTGTCTAATGTTGCACTCCATGGAATTAAACGTTAAAAAAATTCTGTAGCATATTTTTATTTTTATTTTTTGGTTGTCCTCCACTGTAGCAAATGTTCAGTGTTTATAAATGAGCCAAGTTTGGACCTGATTGATCTGCCAGTATCTATATGCATGTCCACGGTACCCAGAAAAGCCTGGGTTATTAAACAAGAGACAAATACAGAAAAGTAGAGCCTGACTGCAGATTCAGTTTTTAAAAAGCTTCTTTAAGGAACAGAGTTGTTGTTTTTGCTCAAACACAACAACAACCAGAAGCCAGACTTGCTTTTTTTCTGTCTCGCGTAAAACTTTCTTAAACTTTTTCATTTCACTCTTATTTCTGAATCAAGCCATAACAAAGTGGAGGATTTTACTTTATACCCAATTAATGTTTTCCATAGTTATTAAAATTGTTTTTTATATAACAATATCATCATACATTGTATCATAGATTCTTTGCAGCATTTATGTTTAGAAAGTAAGGCCTCCTGACTTATGCTGATCTGTGAAATGTACGCACACAAACAAAAGATCATGTTATTCTACTAGACCAGGTCTTTTATTCAAATCATTGCTTTCCTTTAGCATTGGAGGGCTCCTCTCATCCAGCATGCAACCCTGCAAATTCTTCAAGTGATACACACAGGAACCTGCAAAGGTGCAAATGGAACAAGAAAAGTGATTTTTTTTTTTTGCCAAGACTTTCACAGTCCTTCAATGGCTTGCAGAGTCCTTCATTCTTTGCTGACTCAACCTCTCCGATGTTATTTGGTACACTTGACATATAAGGAATGGAGGTTAAGCTGTAGCAGAGAGGGTTTGTGAGTGTCTCCCGTTGTGAGTGTCTGTCAGTTCCAGCAGACGCAACTTGAAGACTTTTAACAGGAGGAAAAGCTGTAACTTAGCCAACTCTGTTAATATTGACCTTGTTTTCTCTTGTTTTCATCCTCCTCCTCTGTTTGCTCTGCAGGTCAGGTCAAAGCCCCCTTTCCTCCCACTGACGTCCGCGCCTGCGAGCTGAGCGACACCTACGTGGTGCTGAGCTGGACCGAGCCTGAACCCCGAGGCAGGGAGCCGCTGACCTACTATGTAGAACGGGTCAGTCCGCACACCTACGCACAGAAAAACAAAGATTCATATTCTAACAGCTCTGAAAGCGGATCAGCTGCACTGATCACACCAACAAATATAATATTATAATAAGTGAGCCTTTGCTGCAAATCAAATTAATCAAGTTTCTAACAAACAGAAGCTTCGATTTGAAGAAAATCTGCACATTTTCACTTTCTGATTGCTTTTATTTCTTTTTATTCATGTTATGTTATGACTCAACAAGGGAAGAAGAGAGAAGAGCGTGTCAGACTTAGACCTTGAAAACTGCTTTTGATTTTTGCATGTTTCAGACTGAGGTTCTGCTTCAGTTAACAACGGTAATCAGTTTAAAAAACAGAAGAAAGAAGGAATGATGAGATTTAATATTTGCTATGAGTCACTCTTGTTCTTCATCAGTTCATTCGATCATTTATAAATCTTCAACACCGCCTACATGAAGGTCAGTAAATAACACTGGACATGCCCCCTGGTCCCCGATTTTTGTAGAAAGGCAGGAAAGACTACCATGGCAACACTCACAGTCATAAGTTTCTATTCCAACCTAATTACAAATGTACATCTTCAAGAAACATCTGGGAAACATAAACAGAAAGGCTTGATTGCTAAAGTGCTGGTAAATATATGATCTTTCTAATTGATTATTGAGGGTAAAAACGATTCCATCCACCATTGTCAAAAATATTTTTTAAATAAGAGAGGCAAAATTATTTTACCGTATTACAAATAGATTACATCAAACTGTACAGAAGATAAACAAATGTCTGGAAATGCATCCCAGGTTATGTTAGACCACTAATTACCTTTGTGTTAATATATAACTGTGCCTCCCCGTGATGAAATTTTGAACATCCAAATGGATGGATGGATCCAACTCCTCCTTTTTTACAATATATGTTTTTCAACTAAAATGTAAGATTCGCCGTGGCAACAGAAACACACAACAGTAGGACTGACCTTTTCTTTGATATAATAAGGAGCCTTGGCTCCTTCACATCTGCTCAGGCACAAAACAGCTCCTGACTCCAATAATCAGAAAACTGCCACAGGAAGCAGATTTTTATTGTGGCTTTATAAGTTACTGAGGTAATAAAACTGTCAGATCCTTCAAAGGTACCTGAAATTACTAACGTTGGCAGCCTCCGTTCTGCTTATATAATGAAGGGAACATTCAAATATCCTTTTTGCCCTCAAGAAATCACTTAATAATAACTTCCCTTTTGGCATACCTCCTCTTTTGTTGGTATTTCTACCTTTTAAACAACGACTTAAAGAGGGAAATGTTTAATTCACATAAGAGCAATACGGAAATGCCAAGAGGAAAATGAAATGAATTGTTTGGTATGGTTTAAGTCTCTTATTATACTTTTTCATTGATAAAAATAAAGAGGTAAAGATAATTATTAATTACTAATTTACATCCTCTTTTCAATGTGTTTACAGTGAACAATATTTTGTCTGAATATTATATAAATATTTAAAGGCATGAATAATTTGAATATCCTAAAATAGATCTAATATATCCATTGTTTGTTGTTTAATCCTGTTTTTCAATAATTATATGCTTGGGTCAGTCCTTGGCAGGGAAAAACAGCTGGGAGCTGGCCAGTCTGGACATGATGGTGAACTCTCCCAGGTTCCCAGTGTTTGATCTGGTTAAAGACAAGCAGTACTGCTTCCGAGTGCGCTCCATCAACAAATATGGTGTCAGTGACCCCTCCACTCCGAGTGCACCTATTTCACTAGGAAAGCAGCAAGGTATGAGAGAATTAATTGCGTTTTGAGGCTAAATTATTACTTTGTGTGCTTAAAGGTCAGCCACACTGTTAGGAATAAACCCCTAAATCAGCATTTAGTGTAATCTAGTGCTGTGCCTGCAATAATCGTAACAAGGTTCCACTGTTTTTATTCTGGAATTAAATAGAAAGTCAGCACTTGTGGACTATTAAAAACTAAAGGAAAATATGTATTTCTGCAACACATGACAAACCATTCTCTGTTTTTGTAAAGCTTTGATCCTTCAAAATTAATTTCAGCCACCTTAGATTTGGCCTCAAGATCTATTATTGCCTGTTTTCTGAATCTGGTTTTTACATTTCAACATTTACATATATGTCATTAATAAACTAGCCCCCTAAATACGCTAGCCATAGCCCTTCCTATTTGTTTTGTTTTTTGCTATGCCTGATGCATGGAAAACTTATTTAGGGACTCTCAAGCATCTGTGTGTGAAGAGTAACAAATAAGAATATTTTAAATTGGCTCTAGGAAAAATAACTCCTTCCCCAATCTTTGCTCTTTATCATTTGTCCCACTCCAGAGTTAGATTTGTGACTCATTAATCAATCTTTATTAACCTTCTGTCAGTGAGCCCCTAATTTATTTATTTATTTATTTGTCCTTTGAGTTAGTGTCAGTGTATATGTTGGTAGTTGTTAGAGTAAGGGTCTGGGTTAGGCCAAATAAAATGAATGCAAGTCAATGAAATGTCCCCATATGTCATGAAAACACAGCTGTGTGAGTGTGTCAATCCGTGAATCACTGAATGTAGTGTAAAGTGCTTTGGTCAAGTCCTCTGACTTGAAAAAGCGCTTTACAAGTACAGGTCATTTACCATTTACCATCATGGGTAGATTCTATTGTAGCTGAGATCTTGTATCAGTTCATAAATGACCTCAAATTGTTTTGATTGATTAAACCTCATTTGTTTCCCTTCAGCTGTGCCGCCTCCTCCTCACTCAGCCATGGCCATTAGAGACACGGACACCTCAGTTCTCTTGCAGTGGCAAGAACCCAAAGACAAAGACAACATCTTGGGATATTATCTGTACTACAGTGAAGCTGGTAAACAGGAGTGGAAAACTGTTAACAACAAACCTGTAACAACAACCAGGTAAAAAAAAAAAAAAAAATAGGACAACTTTTTAAAGATCTTAAAAATAAAAAAAATCATGGTGATCATATAAAACAAAGAAAATTCCATGGATCCTTTCCATTTTCTAATCCAAACATATTTTGTTCTCAGGTTTACTGTTCATGGCCTAAAAACGCTGAAAGAATATGTGTTTCGGGTGAAATCTGTGAGCCGAGCAGGAAACAGCAGATATTCAGATGAGTCTCACCCCATCATCGTCAAAGCAGCCATCAGTAAGTTCAAGGATTTAGTGATGTTGCAACAGTTGCAGGAATGTTAAGAATATGTTTTAATATTTCATTTTAAACTGTAACTTTGAATACTTGTTTTGGTTAAAAATATTGGTACTGAAATTATATTGCAATTTATCTATTTAACTTAAAATCTAGTAAAGCTCTTCCTTCAGGAAAATGTATTTTCATCAAAGAGAGAACAGGCTGGAAAATTCTTTTAACATTGGTACAGATTCAAGACTTTGTAGCTTTAGACAGAATAAAGACTTCTTGCTTCTTGGTATTTGTCCGGCAGTCAACCTGCTTGCTGTGATACTCTAATAAATTTCATCTCTAGTTATTATACTTTTGCTCTGTGTTTCTTCAGAGGTTCCCTCCTCTCCCTCTGCTATCGCCCTACTGCTGTGCACAGGATCAGAGATGGTCCTCTCCTGGAGGGCTCCTTCCTATAATGGGGGAAACCATGTCCATGGCTACTACCTGGACCAGAAGGAGAAGGGCACCGAGACCTGGAGAGAGGTCAACACAAAACCTGCCAAAGAAAGGACGTTCAAGGTTGGTAATACAGTAGTATATATATATATATATATATATATATATACATTCACGCATCATTTTCTACTTATCCAATGCCGGGGGGCAGCAGTCTTAGCAGAGAATCCCAGACTTCCCTCTCCCCAGAGACTTTCTCCCACTCCTCTGGGGGAGCCCAAGAGTGCAGGCATTGTCTGTCGGCATTCCCAGGCCAGGCCCCCGGCCCTTCCCATCTGTTGATCCCCCTGCTTGTTTCTCCCAATACTCATGAACAAGACCTGAACATAAATTAACTTCTCCATGTGAGGCAGGAGCTATCTTCCAAACTGGAGGGGACAAGCCACCTTTTTTGTGGTCGAGAACCATCACCTCCGGCTTGAAGACCTGCTTCATATTTAGCTATGAAACATACCAGGGAATGCCGTTGGTCTTAGCGGGGGGGGGGGAGCCAGTAGAAACATGTTATCTTAAAAAAAACAGAGATGAAAAACATCAGTCCACAAACCCCCTCTGGCCCTTGGCTGGACTTACAATTCCTGTCTCTAAAAGTTATTAACAGGACTGGTGACAGGGGGCAGATGTGCCAGAGTCCAAGATGCACCACAAACAGGTCAAACTTAATGCAATGTGGACATTTGCACAGCGACTGGATGGCCCCTAGTAAAGGGCCCCCAATTCTGTACTCCAGGAGCACCCCCCACACTTCACTCCTCTGAGCACCCTGTAAAGGGTGAAGAGCTGATCCAGTGTTCCACAGCTAGAAAGCAAGCCACACTGCTCCTCTTGAAGCCGAGGTTCGGCAATCAGCCAGTCTCTCCAACAACCTGTCATAGGGCCTCTCAGGGAGACTGAGAAATTTGATCCCTCTATAGTTGGACGACCCCCTCTGCCCGTCCTATTATGCAGGGGAGCCCCCACCCCAGTCTGCCAGTCCAGCGACACTGTCCCCAACCTCCACGTGATTTTGAAGAGGTTTGTCAGCCATAGCAGCCCGACACTTTCCAGAGCTCTAAAATACTCAGTGCTAATCTCATCCAACCTCAAAACCTTGCCACCATAGAGTTCTTTGGAGAACTCAGTGACTTCAGCCTTGGTCCTGCCTGAAGCATCAGCCATGTTAAGGTGATCCTAAAAATATTCCTTCTACCTTGCCAGAATGTCACAAACATGTGCCACAATTTTTCAATCCAGCACATTCTATTACAAAACTGAACTACTTTACTGAATAACCAATCATCAATTCAAAAGCCCTACCCCGAAAGAACAGGCAATATAATCCCATAAAAATTATTTTTGACAAGATTTCCAAACTTTCTGTGTTACCTCTTTTCTCCCTTTTCCTAACTATTCATTCAAGATGCTGTATGTTAGCATATTCCACACATACCAAGGGTAATTTTAAAAACACTTATTAACGCTTATTGTCTACCCATTATGCCAAATGTTGTTCAATTGCATCCTAAATACCAAAGTCTAAAGTATACAGTATTTGCAAATTCACAATCTGACAGCATAATTGGAAATCTCCACCAAGGAGATGATAGCTGACCTGTGACAAAGACAAGTGCCCCTCTACCGTTTCCTTTGAGTCCACATCAAGGGGCACCTAAGCCGATAGTAAACACCTCTGACCTGCTTCAGAAGGCCCAGTGAACTCTGCATTTCCTGAGAGTGCTTATAAAAACTAACATTACATGTAGACTGCTGGCGCCCTTTTATTGGTTCTCTACTGAGAGCATATTGACCTACTCCATCTGTGTTTGCAACACCAGCTTTACAACTGCTCAGAGGGAAACACTCCTGTTCATTACTGTGGCCTGAAAGATTGATACCTGGACTCCCCCTATTTTTGAAAACCTTCACAGCTCCAACTTTCTCCAAAAAGCCCATAACATCACAAAGGACACATTCGCCATGTTATCGTCGTGCAGATTTGATAGATTATTTGAAATAGCAACAAGCAGCAACAACGACAGTTTGTAACTGATTAGTTACCAGAGTGAGATGCAAAAGCACAAACATCTCATTATTTTGCATATCATATAAGATATCTTAGCGCAGAATTACTTTTTCAATTTTGTTTTTCTCATTTTCTCATATAATATATTCTATTTTAATGTATTCTGTTTTATTCTCTCAGTATATTTGGTCAAGAATAGCTAGATCCTCTCTGTGGAGCTACGCTTAATACATTGGTTACTTCTGATGTACAATCCGTAAATTTGTATATACATGTTTCATCAGGTTTGATGGTGAAGATTTTTATATTATCTCAAATCAATGTGTAATTCTCTCAGTATACTCATACTCTCTTACCCTACTCTTACCCTAATTCAGGCTAAAATAAAAATTTTAGCTGAACCTGGGGCCTTAAGAATACATATAGAGAGCAGATTAAAATAATTATTAGAAATGGGTTTTAGAGGAACTTAGTAAACAAGCAGAATTAGGAAGGCCGGAATAAAGCCATGGAGGATGAAATCAGATTTAGAGTAAAAAACTATATTCTAGGTACTGTTCAATCTATCACCTTAAAGTAAACAGTATGACATCTTTAAACCTCCCAACACATGGTTGTATGCCCAAACTGACAGACAAAACAATGAGAGCTTTAATCAAACATGTAGAAGAAAGTCCAGTTCTTAAATGAAAAATGGAAAAATGACAGAAAACTAACACCAGTCCCCACTGTGAAACAGTATAGAGTAAAATTATAGGCTTTGAGGTCAAAATACATGTCAGTCAATACATGAGTTAAAACACTAAATCTATTAATAATAATTCTTTTAAGTGAATCATAAAATTTTATTTCCACATTTAGATTTCTTGCAAATACCTGACAGTGAAAGTAAACTGTTGTTCATTAAATCCGCCTGTGTCACTAGGCAACCAGGCAGTGTCCATGGAGACTTAGAGGAGTAAAATCTGAATAGTGCTTCACTAAGAATACAAGAGCTCCATAATTAGATATTTCATAAACCTATGAGAGGTTGTTTTTATCTCCTGAAGAGAAAAGCAAGGACAAACCCAATTAAAATAAAAACGTCTGAGCACAACAACTGACCCCTGTTGTTCTGGACTGCAGTTCTCAGGACTGGAGATCTTTTTGTTATTCCAAAGTCTCTAATGAGAAAAAAAAAATGTTTCCCCTTTGGAATAAAATGAGACATTTTAGCAACATATTAAGGAGACGGAAAACTCAATCTGTTTCCAGGATGAGGTGCAGCTTTGCTTTGGATTGTAGACACACTCCTGATTGAGGCTTTTTATTATGTATAGTAAGTCATATAATTTTCATCCTCTGTCAAATGTAAAGTTTAAATGTAAACAGTGCTTTGATCTATTTCAAATTTTGCTGAGTTTAACCCACAGAAATCCATAATGTTTTTTTTGGTTACATCTAATAGACAACACAACCAAGCACCTTAACTTTAGGAAATACTAGGATGAAAGGAATCAGTGGTTTTACAGAGCTTTGCAAAAATAATCACCTACAAAGTGAGGCATAATATTTTTATGAATCCCCTTTACTCTGATACCCCTTAATAAAATGCCTTCACACCACTTACCTGAGAAGTCAGAATAAAGATGTTCTGTAAAGGAATCGGATCTGTTAGGGTCCATAATTAAGCAAACAAATAAGATAAAGTATGATAAGATAAGATATGACTTTATTAATCTCACAAATTAACTATATTCTCTATTTTAAAGCAAGGCTCGGTTAGAAACAACTGCCCAAAGCGTGGATAATCTTGGAGAGAGTACTGCTGAATTAGGAAGCTCATTACCTCACTCATTACCTCACTCATATGTAGCTTTTTAGGACTCCGAATGTAATCACCTCCCAGAAAAAAAAACAGGCAAAGAGTGTTTTACAAAAGGGACAGCTGAATGGAGCAGGTCAGTTCATGCATCGATCCATCAGATGGTCCCAGGGCAGAGTGGATATATAGTCCCTCCGGCAGGTTCTGGGTCTTCCCTGGGATTTCCTCCAATTGGGACATATCTGGGAAAACCAGGAGGGATCCAGACGAGGTGCAAATAAACGTCGACTTTTAAGGCAGAGAGTCAGATGCTCTACTTTAAGATCCTTAAAGTAGAAATTCTGAGGTCCTCTGCCATCTGTAAACCTGATCTGTGTGTAGGAATATATTGTATACAAATGACTACTAATCCAAAAGTAAGTACTTACTTTTTATGTAAAGCTGCTGAGATCATACTTTTATTTATAGTTTGATCTTATAGTTCAACTTTAATAACTTGCAATTAATTATTTTTTATAGCCTATAAGGTCAAAAATTTAACAACCCACTAATTTTAGAGAAAAGGGGTACCATACAGGCCTCCCCCATAGGATTGTCTACATTAGTGTAGTAGGAAAAGTAGTATAAGTTTAACAGCCCAATTTATGTAGTGGCAAAGCCTTTTTTTTTAACTTCATTACAAGAACAGCAGGTCACGTATTCAGTGTTAAAAAAAGAAAAGCAATCCCCTGGATAAGACAAAGGTCTTTCATTCAGTGAAGTGTAGCCTGATTGCCCCCTGGTGGCAGAGGTTTTATTGAAGCACACTGTGTCTTGCTTCTTCATCCTGGACTGTACATCATTCTGACTGATTGTTGTTCAGTTAAAATGTATCATCAGGAAAAGATTTGTGCCAAATGAAGAAGGGTGCAGGTGTGATGTGGCAGCTTTCAGATAGCGGCTGCTGCTGTTATGAAAAAGCTCACCTCTGCTTTGGTCAATTAGTTGCCTGGAGATAGGCAGAGGCAGCAGAGGTTCACAGCTGTTCACAGAGGCGATAAGGCCCTTAGAGTCTAAGTGGCTGTGAATAGTAGGATCAATGAGCTGATCAATAGGTCTGGATCCTCTCTCCATTCAGAGGGAGTAACGTCTCAGGAGCTCAGAAACATGTTGCAGATCCATCAGAGCTTAAAACTTGGAAACTGTCTTTTAAAATCAGACAAAATGAAGGTTTGTAGGTGGAGAATTTTTTTTTTTTCCTGATTGGACTTTTGCATTTCAGTTGAACACATTTTGATCAAGATCAGTCAAGCTTTTTTAGTGCTATTTAAAATCAGTTTTACAAAATCGACTTTGACACACTGATTTGTAAAAGAGTTAATGACATTTAAAAATTAAAAAAACAATCTTATGGTTATTTGTGATTAAAATTCTTACGAATTCAGAAACTAGGCAATTATTCTATGCTTTTTCTTGGTTCCATTTTAAAATGTTAAGATAAATAAACCCAGCTTGAGTTTATTTACAGTTTTAAAAGAGGAATATAACTCATTAATCGGATCAAAACAAAGTAAATTAATATGCTTAAATATTGAAAAGAAAAAAAAAAAAACATTTGGAAAATAAAATGTGTAATGATTGTTATAAAGGCAACAGAGAGAATAAAAAACAACCAAAGTCAGATTCAAAGCAAACTAAACAAATTGTGCTAAACACATTTTTTTTTCCACAGAGATCATTTGTGTACCTGCTGTCTGGGAGCAGTGAGATCTGGTGGGATAATGGGGAACATTCTGTTCTTTGAATGAAGACGAGTCGAGGCCATTCAGGCTTTTAAATGTGATGAAGATTTTAAAACCTATTCTCAGGTGAAGAGGCTATAGTGGGGGAAATGTGATTTTTCATGGCAATACAAGTCATCACTCTGCCTGCAGGCTTTTAGATTAACCGGAATAAATAGGTGGACTTAATTCGACTCCAAAATAAATAATTGATACAGTAGTGCAGTTAAATACGAGGAATGCATGCAGTTGCATTGCACTGAGACAGGCTAGTTTTATACAGATAAGTGTATATCACTGATGGCAAATATTTTACATACTGTGAACATTTTTTCTCACTCCTCTAAAAGTATTTACATCCAATGAAATTCATCGGCATCTTTTAACAGCTTATCTGCTTTGTCTACAGGTTTCTGACTTGAAAGCTGGACATTCATACCAGTTCCGAGTCTTTGCTGCTAATGCAGCCGGCATTGGGAAGCCGTCTGACGCCAGTGAAGCATTCCTGTGTGAAAAGTGGACAATGCCAGAACCAGGTGGAGGTTAAAGCTTCATAAAATCCAGAAAAGAAATGCTACTAACTAAATATCTCCTCACCTGAAAGTTCAACAGTTGCATTTGGCAAATAGAAAACTATACGTTGAAAATTATTTTAAAAAAACATGTCTTCCAAACAGAAGTTTTTGAAAAATCCTCAATTTAAAAGAATAAATTGACCTGCAGTTAGAATGTGCTGTTGTAAAGAAGGATTACCACTGAGTCCCTTTAATCTAGAAGTAGTCAGCCTTCTTAGCTAGTGAGTTCTGCTTTAAAATTGAATCCTGCAACTACATAGAGCTAAAGTCTTTCCTCTTAAGGACACAAACTTTGCAGCAGTTGGGGCCATAATGAGGTACGTTTTGAACATCTGTACAAAAGATTGTCCTGAAAGCCAAAGCTGAAATCCACCACCAGCCTGCTTATATTTATTGTTCTTAACAATAAATACATGAAATCAGCCAAAATGTGATCAGAGAGACTAATGCTGGTTACAATTTGTTTTTGCATTTTCAATGCTTTTGGGAAATGAATGAAAAGTGCTGCACAATGGTGCTTATAATGTCATTATCTTCCAGGCTGCTGTTGTTGTTCAGATGCATTTTGTCCTCTTTGGGAACTGGATTTGATCATTCCTGACTGAAACCTTCCCCAAAAACCCAGAAGTGATTTACTGATATGCAATCTTTATCTCCAAAATGAAACACCACATTTTCACAAGGCAAAAAGCATTAGTTGCTTAGGATCAAACAATGTTAAAAATGGGTCTAAACCCATTAAAAACCTCAAGATACGAGTGGGGGGAAAAATCACAAATTTTGACAACATTTATGTTATGATAAAACAGGGTTGCTATGAGTTACACATATTACGGCCCAAAAACTCCCTTACAGTATGGTATATTGTAAATATGGTTGCTTTGCATTAAACTAGACAACTCGTCTTGAATTATTTTAAAAGTTTATTACCAAAACATCAATTATATAAAACTAAGAGCATATGTCCTTTAACTGAAAATGCGAAAGTTGCAAAACATCTGCTTCTTAAACTAGTTTTGGACTTTACAACTTGCACTAGCAAAAGTGATAACAACAACCACAAAATGTTGTTAGATTAAAGAGGAATTCCACAGTTAAAATCAGCCATTCCAAAGTGTTTAATTTACCTAAGAGCTTTGGGAATTTGAGCATCCGTCAATATTCTGCTACCCTGCAGTTTCTACAATCTGTTTTTCGACCCCAGCTGCGTAGAGAGGGGAGATAGAAATAAACACCATCCATCACCTGCAGAACCCATTTCCACTTGCTGCCATTTTTACTTTAATTTAAACTGCACCTCTAATAGTGTATGTAGTTTCCTCACAGCAAAATAAACAGGTCAGTATGAAATACCAGGATAATAATATGCTGTTTACTTATTGCACCATTAATGCACACAGTAATAGTGGAGGTTAGAGGTTAAGTGACTAGTAAATTTGTTAAAATAACAGCCTTGAGTTAGAATTAGCTGTGGCTATTTATCACGCTTTGCTCATGTGTAATTTGTTATTGAATATCATGCTAGTAGGCGATTTATAATGAGAGACAACCATTTAACACTAACAGCACATTATTAAATAAAAGGGTATAGGCTTTATATTTGTAAACATAAACTATGATTTCAAAATAATGTATAATTATTTAAGCCACTCTTGACAGAAGCATGGGAAATTATTATGATTTATCTAGTGGGTCTGTTGTTAATATTCTAGTTAAAACAATTGTAGGATATTACAACTTGTACATAGAGCGTATGGAACTGACATCAGGATGTGTACCTGTGTGTAGCAGTTTTAACCAATGTCTTTGATTGTTGGAGTGAATCATGCAACTACATAGAGCTAAAGTTTATATGGTGGATTTTTAAGTAGTTTAAGTTCACCTGTACTAAAAACTTTACAATACTGATTGATTTTAAAGCAGAACCCACTAGCTAAGAAGGCTGACTACTTCTACATTACAAGGGACTCTGTGGTGACTTCAGCAATCTCCTATGGCGCTGTTTTTGTGTTTTTTAGAATAGAATAGAACAGAATAGAGGCGTGCAGGTGTCGCAGTAGTTAGCGCACAGGACACATGCACAGAGGCCTCAGTCCTCAATGCGGCCAACCAGGGTTAGAATCCGACCGAGGTCCTTTGCTGCATGTCTCTCCCCCTCTCTCATACCCCGTTTCCTGTTAGCCTCCTGTAAAAAAAAAAAAAAAAAAAAAAAAACGAGCCACAAGTGCTGCAAAAACTCAACAAAAAAAAAAAGAGAATAGAATAGAAAATACCTTTATTGTCCCAAAATGGGGAAATTGTGGTGTTACAGCAGAAAAAGGGTATAGCAGAAGTGGACACACAATGTGCACCTTAGAGAAAGTGTATAAGAATAATTTTTTTGAGCAGAATCTACAAATGAGAGGAAGCAGTTAATGTCCAAGCTCAACAGAAAAGACATCTCTGTATCAGAATGGCCTCTTCATCCATTGCAGATTATAGAAGACAGAAGAACTCTTGAAAAATGTACATTTTAGAACAATGCCTCCGAATCCATACATTACTGTTACAGAACCAGATAGCTCCATCAGTGGCATCCTAGTTACCCAAACAGGCACTACTGCAGATTCTTCCTCCAAACATTTCTTAGCCTTTACAAGGGCCATTGCTCCAAGCTTAATAAGTGTTTACATCCCAACTAATTTGTCTTGCTGATAGTCTGTTGGCTAGTTTTAAAATATATGTGGGCACCTTGTAAATTTTTTTCAAATGATCCTACTCTTTTGCACTTTTTTGTATCTGTTATATAGTATTTCATTTATGTCATAAATGTTCTCTTACTGTTTTCTTTTACAGTCTTATTCAGGTGCTATTGTTTACCTTTGTAAGAATCTAGATATTCCCATTTAATTTAATTTTACTGCTGTTACATCTGAATTTTCCTTCTGAGCAACAGCAAAAATATTTTTCTTTTACCGTTCTATTCTGTATCTACTGTATTTTGCGAAGACTGTATTCATTCCATTATTGATTCTGAATTTAAGCAATTTTAACATCAAACGAGCCAAATGTTAACATTGAGCTACAGTTCTTTCAGATTTCTCTGCAAGTTGTTTTCTTTGTACTTGCTGCTTCTCATCCATTTAGAGTTAAATGGACTCCAGGTTTAGGCTTCATAACACATATTTTGCAGATAAATACATAGGAGCATATTAGTGTTTACTGGAAAAACCGATAATACGTCAAGCTGTTGCAGTCAGAGCAATTTAGAATATTTTAAAGGATTAATCTTTACAACAAAAGGCAGACACTTGTTTATCCACACTGGGCTTTTACCATAAAATAAAAACACCTGCTTCTTTCCTGCAGAAATTAAATATTTGTGAATTTGAAGGCAGTGCTATACCTATATCTAAAATGACACATTTCTATTATTGGTATTATTAACATGACCCACAACCACATACTGATTCACCCTGCCAAACTCAGTGAGAAATCCATTTCTTTCCTTGCACAGATCGGCATTTTGCCATTAATACAAAAATTGGAAACAGTCTGACTGAAATGAGCCCCTCTTTAATCATGGCAAATATTCCTTCCTCAATACATCAATAATTTAAATGTGACTAAAAATCATTCTGTAAATTGACTTCTATGTCCAGCACTGAAGTCAATCTGAGTAAATTCAGAATCTATGGTTTTATTTTCAACCTAATATTTCTGACTTATTTCTGGTTTGAAACTGCTTATTTATCCAGCTCTCTGGTCCTCAGGTTGTCCGTATGACCTGGAGTTCAGGGAGGTGAGAGACGGTTCGCTGGTGCTGTTATGGGCGACTCCGCTCTATGAGGGTGAAAGCCCTGTCACTGGCTACATGCTGGAAACCAGCCAGGGTAACCAGTCTGACAACTGGACCATTCTGACTGTAAAACCAATTTCTGAAACGCGTTACAAGGTGAGAGTTGCACCAAACTAATTCTGGTTTGACGCCTGGGCCTAATTTAACTTCAAAGCATATAAAGCAGAAGTTTGTATCATTAATGTCTGACCCCATTCATTAGAAAATGTTCACATCTAAATCTACGGCTTCTAAGATTTAGATCAGAAATTCTGTTATTTCTGTGTGTGTGCGTCCTCTGGCATCTAGGTGACTGGTCTGCAGACGGGTCAAACCTACCGCTTCCGTGTGTCTGCTGTTAATAAGGCAGGTGTTGGTCGTGCTTCCTTGCCCTCTGAGCCGGTCACAGTTCAGACCCAACCAGGTCAGAATAAAACACAGCTGTTCTCTCATTGCTTTATTTGTCAAGTGAGGGCCAGCTTAATTTCTTAAAACATTACAAAAGATAATCTTTCATAAGATATATTCTTTGCCTGGTAAATACTGTAAACAAATAGTCTATTAGAGTAAGTAAACACTGAAACAAAACAAAATTAAAGCAAAGCAAAGTGCTTTTATTTGTGCACATGCTTAAAAAACCCACACCTTTGTTTAAGCACTTGTTTATCTTGGGTTCACTTTTGAAAAGGGGCCTATAAACTTTCCCACTTGTTTTTAAAACAAGATTTTCCAAATCTGTCAGATTTTAAAATCTATCTTCCATCCACAGCTCTCTTTTTTGTATATTTGTTTTTTGTTTTTTAGACTAACCTTCATATTTTCTGTAAGATTTAGGTTTAAAGTCTGGCTAGGCCACTGAAAGGCACAAACAACCTGCTAGTGAAATGATCCATACATTATGTATGCTTTATTTCAAGTTGCTGTTTTGCTAAAAGAAAAAAAATAAGAAGAAAATATGAAATTTGATTTCATCCATGGCTTTCTGTTTAAAGTCTAATGTTTTTTCTTCTTACATTATCTGACATTTGGATTATTAATATCCTTTCTTAATTTCTTAACAGATTTTCCTCCAGTTCAATCAAGACCCCAGAAAAAAGCATAATGCTTCCACTACCATGCTTCATAATGTTTAGTATCTTCCGTTGATTATCTGCAAGTGTACATTACTTTTGAAATAAGGACCAAACATTTAAAATCTTGGTTCAACTCTGCCTTTCTGCTTTGAGATATGAATAAGAAAATCAGCAGTACCTGAAAGTTGAACATGAGTGTGCTATGTATTACAACTTCTTCCCACGATCCAATTATACACACTATGCACGCTAGGTTAATAGGTCACACTAATTTCCCCTAAGGAGTCAGTAAGGATGTACATTCATTAATGTTTGTCCTGTTCTCCCCTGTGCTGCACTGTGATTGACTGAGCACCTGTCAAGGGTGAGCTCTGTCTTCTGCATATTAACTCTGGAAATAGGGTTGGAACCCCATAACTCTGCATGGATAGCTGGGTATAGAAAGTGAATGGATGGTATGAATAAAAGCCCCACATTCTCAGTGTATTTACACATTGTATTCCCTGTTTTTTTGCCTGAACTTGCTTTTTTTATTCTTATCACACAACAATTATTTCAACCACTATTTATTTATTACAGCTATAATAATGTTCTAGTTTGTTTTATTCATTTCTCTTTTTTTAATAAAGCTTAAATACAGATTATACCACTAGAATTGTTTTAATATTTCTAAGTTCCTATTAAAAACATTAAAAACTTTCCTGCTCCTTATTATTGAGAAATAAATAAACAAAAAGCTGATATATACTGGTTAATAAGTCAAGCTATCTGCAACTACTATTTCATACTTTTTCCTAGTAAGACCAGCTGTACTTATTGGTGACTTCCTTTAGTTTTCACACCACTTTTTTTTGCAACTAGAAGGGAAGACAAAGTGTAGTCACCCTCTTGTAACCACCTCACCTGCAATGAAACGCAGCGAGTAGTTTAGCAGCAGCACCATAAAAGATGAGCATCTTATTACAAGGGTATAAGATGTGGCAGTTTTATGGCAGAAAATTAAAGTGGAAAACATTAGATGGTGATTCCTTAACTGGCCCATGCTCGCTTTGACAGCTGCTTTGCTTCTTTTTTTTTTTTTTTATTCAGGTACCAAAGAGATTAAGATCGGTGTTGATGATGAAGGGTTTATATTTCTGGGATACGAGGCTGTTAAGATGAGTGACGACAGTGAGTTCCTCTGGAGAAAAGATTTCACAAAACCGATCGATTCCCAAAAAGCGAAAGCAGAAACAGCTAAGAACAGGTAAAGAGTTTATAAGTGATACTGACATTACAGGCCACTTATTAGGTTCCTATCAGGTTCCACTTTTTGTTTGTCCATGAAAAAAAAAAAAAAAAAGATGTGGAGGTTTCAAATTAGCCTGTAATGTTTAAAGTCAGGTGGTTGAAAGCATTTCCTGCAGATTTTGTTGCTGATATAAGATTAAGTTAAGCTAAGTCGACAATTTTTTCTTTTCAAATGACTATTTGTCTACCAGGTCAGCTCTCACCTTCACAGATCCATCTGAAGAGGATCTTGGTCTGTACACTGTGGAAATGAGCGACTGTCCTCATCTGTCATCCAGCTATGATTTTACAGCTGAAGGTACTCCAATAAATATCAACAAGCGGAATCTCTGGTCTTAGGATTTATAATCACTTCCTACTGCTACAGTAACTTCTGCAATGTCACCTTATTCACACACTTTTCTGTTAAAAAATTATTTAATCTTTGGCTTCTACTTAATGACATGTTTAATTTTTTAGATCTCGAACATCTGAAAGAACTCAGCTGGCAGGTCAGAAATCCATGTACGTACCACCTCCGAAGAGCATGAATAAAAAGGATTAACAGAAGAATAATCAAACTTCATCTATAATCTCTTCTGCTGCTGCTGGATTATGTTAAATGGTTTTATTCTGAGTTTTAGAATGTGATCTGTCTTTGATTTCACTCTGCAGTAATTGCACTGAAGTCAGCCTGGCAGGTGGAGGTGTCTGAAAAGGGCAGCGTGCGTCTTTGGCTTCAGACCGAAAGTCTCAGTAGTTCTGCTGAGCTCCGTCTTATCTTCAACGACCGAGAAATGTCCAGCAATTCGGTAGGTTTCTCACTTAACAGATAATGTAGTCGGAAGAAGAGCTGCAAAAACTTTGTTTGAGCTCTTGGTTAATATAATAAGTATTTCTTATAAATTATAGAGAAAACAATCGGATTAAAACTTTGATATACTGAATTTAATAGGCTGAAAACAAAGTATTGCACTCCATATTCTCATTTATTATGATGCAAATTTGACCTGTCAAGCAGTCAAACAGTGATCAAAACATCTCTGTGTTATCAATAATATATGACAGTTTGTAAAATAGCGACCTTATTTCAGAGTAGGTAAATGAGACATTTTGCCAATGGAACAAGACAATTTACAATTAAAATAAGAAAACACAATTGCATTGTCTTATTTCAGGTGCATTTTATCTATGTCTCTTATTTTAAGAGTAAAAATACTCTTTCCATTGGGAAATTATTTCATTTACCTGATCAAAAAATATAAATACACTTAATTCTAGAAATGTTTACTTATTTGTAGATAGTTTTTCCAGTGCTGTCAAATTCCAAAATGCTGAGATCAGATTTGAGTGTTTGTCATTGTTTCTTCAAGTTGTAAATATGAGGAAACTCACACATGCTGAGTGGGTCCAGGTTTCTATGTATCGCAATGTGAGTGCATCTGTCTTCATGACAGCTCAGCATGATTCCAAAACAGCAATTAGTGTCTTAATAAGCATCCTAGGAAATAGACGCTGTCAGTGAAGATGAAGCACAGGTGAGTATGGCTACAGAAAGGTCTGGGAGCTCAGTTGATTTAATCAAGTGGATAAGACAGAAAGATCGCCTGAGGTGAAGGAGACAGAGCTCACATCTGATTAAACGTGTCAGGCTTAATTAGTGCAACATGAATGATCTTTTGAAAAAAAAAAAAAAGATTTACCTTGGTAAATAAAGAAATACTAGGAAATAATGATTTACATTGTTCTTCTTGATAGGTGGACGTAGGTGTTAGACGTAGATCGTTTTTGAAACATTGTCCTAATCACTTTATTAGCAAACACAAACATTCTTGTGGCTGCCATTCATAAAAAAGCCTATCTTTCCTTGTATTTAAATGTGTGCCTTCAGGGACAAAGCTACATACGTTGATTATAATAAACACAAAAAAGCTAAGCATTCATCTTTTAATTAAAAAACATATGAAAAGTGTGTGCTGATAGTGTTAGTCTAAAATATGTTTACACTGGGTGGGATCAGTATACACAAACATAGGTGTGCACCATCTACCAGCAGCTTATATTACCAAATTAGAAACGTGAACAGTATTAGTTACTATACACAATTACTTTTCCATCACTATAACTAAGAGCCTAAGAATAACATTACTATCAATATTAATAATGTTGTGTAATCTATGAACCATGAATCAGACGAATCTAAATGCTTCCACAGCTTTAGCCACTGCTTTAGGTGACCTCACCGTCCATGTTGGATTCCTGGTGCTACTTGACCTGATCTTGAACTTTCCTTTTTCTTTTGCATTTCCACTCTTGTTACTACTATCTCATTTGGTTTTATTTCTGCTCCCATATGTCATTAGCTTTCTTCCTTGTTTTTACTTCTATTCATTGTGCACATGTGCCTCCCTTCAGTGATATAATGATGGTACATATACACAAAGCTCCCTACTTCTTAACAAATAGAGCAACATCAACATGTATAACAAAAACATACGATTTAATAAGGCTACAAGGCATAAAAATTGAATCAGAAGACCTTTGCATGCAACCAGTGGGAACCACTAGCGTAGAAATGTGTGAGGTTAGAGTACGTGATTAGACCAATTTAACTAGGAGATTTATGAGATGCTAATGTTTCCAAATCCAGCATTTTACATGACAGATGGCTGTTTATTTCAGGGGGTAAATCACAAACCTACTTGGTAGCAAAATGTTCTGCCTTACTGTGATATGATTAAAGTCTCGCTTTCTCTTCGGCCTAACTGAACATGAACCTTTAGCGTAATAATAGTGTCAGTTTAAATAAGGTCCTGCATCAGTGCAGAGTTACTGATGCTTAAATGGAGACATTTGAATATTTTCACTCAGTAAAAGCATCATTGCCAAAAAGAGTTACACTGAATGTAAAAAAAAATATAACCTTTCTAAAGGGCAACTAAATGTTCAGGTGCATCTATCATTACTATTGACTTTTATAAAAAAGTGACAGTAAACTTTGCAACATATAACTGTTACCATTTCAAACACCTAGCAGCCTTTATATATTAGTTTGACACCTTCTAATTCAACCATTGGACCAATATTAGCTCTATATACCTTATCTGAGTAAAAAAGCAGCCTAACAACATTTAGAAAACCTCTAGAAACTCTGCATAAATTTCATCAAAATCAATTTAGAAAATGAAACAAAAGTCTGAAATCTAATTATGCAGGGTATAAATAAAGTATGAGGTGGTTAGAAATGTTTGAGCAGTAACGTGTAACTTGATTTGAAATCTTGAAAACTGCTCATTGGAAGCGGCTAAAGGTCAAAGGAAAAAAGTTTTTAGATTCTCATTCTTATGCAAACAACCCATATATTTGATTTGCAACAAGAAATGATTTAGTTCAGTTTAAATTCAGGTTAATCATATAGCACCAAGTTTTATCACCAATTCACTCTACAGACATTTCAATCAAATCATACAGATACAGAAGATTGGTTAAAAAAAAGGATAATTTTACTGGTATTGTTGACAAAAGAAAATGAAGCAAGATGTCCAAAAACAGCAGCAGTGTAACCAAACATAACCTGAATGTAGACAAATATATTAGATTAGAAAAATAGAATAGTAAATCCCTTTAATGTTCCGCAATGGGGAAATTGCTGTGTTACAGCAGCAAAGAATTATAGCAAAAGTAGTCACAAAAATGTGGACCTTAAAAGAACTGTAAAAAAATAACAGAATGATAATAATAATAAGCAAACATGAATGTTGTGACAGAAAGTGGAAAAGAATGATGGCTACCATCATAGTTATTGAAACGTGTTCTGAGGTGGCTGCCGGAGAACGACACTGAATGTTTGTCGCTTCTCTCGGTTGTGACTGCTCTACATTCAGTGGCTTCCATTTTGTTCCAGTGTTTCCCAATATGTGAGCTGCATCTGAACAGCACTGATTATACATTATTTCTAAATGATCAGAGTTGAGATATGCAAATGCTGAGGCCATTTAACTGATTAGGGCCCTCCAGCTTGCCATACATCACAAATCACTTCCACCAACCAAGGCCTATAAACATGCAAGGCACACTCTTAGCTTGATGAACATAAAAGCCATGAAAATGAGTTCAAGGTTTGTTCCCCATGTGTCGCTGCTTGTTTGTGTGTTTGCATCTTTTATTAAACAGAAATATTTTATCGTCAGAGTGCAGATGTTACTTCAGACCATTTGCACTCTGATTCATGTTGCATTCTCTTTGAGCAAAAAGCCATATATACAGTGGATGTCAAGCCGCATGTGGGATGATCTGCCTGATTATGAGCTGATGAACGCTGCCTTCAGTAACATTTGTTTGCTTTTCTGCAGCGCTGTAAGATAAACTTCGACAAGGCCAAAGGTCTGGTGGAGATACTGTTTGATCCGCTCTCTCAGGAAGATGAGGGCTCATACACCGCTCAACTGAGGGACGGGCGCGCCAAGAACCAGTGCACTTTGGTCTTTGTGGATCAAAGTGAGTCATTTATTCTGCAGAACAGAATTTGTCATATTGCTTGCATTGCATATCACTGGGAAATTCCAAATCTAATTGACTGGAACATTAGAGACAGGCTGCATGGAAAAATATTCATATATAAAAATTTTTTTTAAAAAACAGATAAATATTTGAAGCATAATTATTTCCACTTATCCTTCACATTTTGATTTGATCTCTACTTGCATTCTGAGTTTATTGCAATACTATTTATAAACATTTTTATACATTCTAACCACATTTTGTCATGTATTTCATTTGAATTTTGTTCTGATACTGCAGCACAAAGTAGTTCATAATTGTAAAGTGGTTCCAAAATAATACAAGATTATTACAAAACAGAACAACCAGTGAATATACCAGTTACCTATTAGGTTAATTATTTGTAGATAAAGTCCAACAGTGTGCAGTATAATCTAAGGATAAAAACAACTGCTGTGTGGAGACCTCTACTGTTTGTTAAAAGGCATTAGCAAGCAACAAGCTTTACTAAAGATTAAGATGTGGAAAAATTTAAAGCAGGTTTAGGTCATAAAACAATATGCGAAAGCGTTGAGCATTATGAGGAGTGCTTTTTAATGAATTCTGTGAAATTATAAAGAACACAGCACAGCTGCAAACCTAGGAAGACAAGGCTGCAGCAAAAGTGACAGACTATATAAAGAAAATCAACCAGAACCAGAACATTTATTAGAAAAAAGAGTTAACTATAAAGGAATGGCAGAGAACCCAAAATCTGTCAACAGAAAAACTGCTTGTCGTTTACGTCCTACATGTAGAACAGCGTGGTTAGAAAAGCACATTTCAGATCCCCATGACGGTATAACATCTTGCTGCAGGGAAAACTGTTTAGACTTGATAGTTTCAAATCAATTTACATTGTGGAATGGTCAAGTCAAAGTCCAGACCTAAATAAAATAGGAGGAAATAGGAACAACTTAGAAGACTTATAGATTTATATAAACAGATGGTCTCTATACATTGTGACTGTGTTGAAGTCATTTTACAAAGAAAATAAAAACAAAATTCCCATTGCATGTCTCTAGTAATGCAAAGCTGATGGAGACATACGTATCCCAAATGACTTGAAGCTGCTTCAAAGTCAGGTTCTAGAAAGCTTTACCTGAAGGAAGGCAAAATATACTAGATCATTTTCCTTCAACTATATGCATTATTTGGGAATATCTATCTAATATCTATTATATATATCAGAGGTCTTCAACAGGGGGTCCGCGACCCCTAGGGGGACCACAGAGGTACTGCATGGGGGTCGTAAAAGTTTTCGTTGATTAGACTTTTTTTTAGATTCCCCCCTTCAGTTTTTTCCACTAATTGAAATGTCTTTAAATCCACATTAACATGAATTCAACACACTGTACTAAACAGATAAATGGAGGCAGAAGATGTCTTTCAGTCATCAATGCACACATTCAGCGACACACAGGAGCTCTTTCAGCAGGGCACCATTTCATTCACAACACCTGTCCCATCAATGAGGAAATAGAATCAGAAATACTTTAATAATCCCAGGGCAAAATTACTTTCATTACATTTCTCCATAATAGAGTGACTATAGGACCAGTTTGATATAACACAATTTCATACAATATATATAATTAGGGCGTCCCCGCTCCATGGCCTGGAAAACATTGAAGACCCCTGTATATATTATTCCATAATTCTTTAAAAAAAAAAAAAAAACATAAAATATAAGATTTATGGCTGTAATATGATAAAGTGCACAATTTTAAGCAATGAATACATTTGCAAGTTATTGTGTTGTAGAGTCTAATCTGTTTTATCTTATTAGAGTTTCGTGAGATACTGGCCTTGGCTGACTGGAAAAGATGGGACATTAAGAGAAAGACTGGTAAGAGGTGCTTACATGACAAAAACTGACAGTTGATAAAAAAATATTTTTTTAAATCATACTTAAGGTATTTTACAGATTACTTAGGATGAACAGGGAATGAACACAAAAGGAGACACCGGCAGAGGAAAATACCTCCTGTAATTTTACATATAGCCATGGTTATAATTTGTCATCATGTGTGTTTTTGTCCCATAAAAATCAGCCTTAACTGTTTTTTTTTTTGTATTATTTTAACACGGAGAGGAGAAAATAATAAAACGTTATAGTAGATGTGCCAGAGTAAGAAAAAAGGCTATATTCTTCATCTATTGTCGCTGTAGATTTTTGTTCTTCTCAAATGTTTGTTTTTACCTCCTTTCATGTCCATTTGTTATGTATGCACAGAGGCCAGTGCCCCAACGGACACTTGTGCACAACTGTGCAAAAGTGCAATTCGTTTCTGTTACAAATTGACTTAATTTGTACAGGTGCCATTTGTGTTCACCACAGTAACAGCATTTCCATGCAAAAAAAAAAAATCACACCTTTCATCCCAGTTTTTCATTTGAAAATTAGATACTTTGCAATTTTTATTTTTTGTTTGTTTTGCATAATTATAGTATTGTATTTGTAATTATTGTTTGTCCTAAATGAAAATTGTTTTGCTGTCATCATTTATGTGGCTCAAAGTAATTAATTCTGTTTTGTTTGTTTTCTGTTTGCTTTTTGTTTTTTAAGGACCTTATTTTCTGGAATTCCTGACATGGAGTGTGAACCAGGATTGTGAATTAATTATACAATGCAAGGTACTATTACATCTTACATTTAAAATGTCCTGATTCTTAAGACAGCTCAGCTAAGATTATAATAGGAGAGAAAAATCTGCTATTTTCGTACTAACCCTGATCTTAGAAATTATTCTCTCTTTCATTAATTATTCAACATATTTCATGCTCTTTAGACTATTATTCTCAATTTCAGGCCAAAGGGATATATTCTTACTCAAGAAATAAAGATTTATCTGTATTCAGATCCAATAATGACAAAGTCTCCCTGTTTAAGTTAATGTTTGGGTGATCATGATCCTTAGTAAAAAAAATAAATCAATATTTAGTATGTATGTTAGAGACACATTTTTATTGTAGTTGTTGCTGCCAGCAGCTGGGATTTTGGGCCCAGGTTGGAATAGAAAACCTTTTTAACTTAATAAATTAGAACTTGGTTTAAAAGCCAATTTCTCTATTCACTCGCACTGTCATTGCATGATTTTTAAAGGCTTATAAAAAGAAGCTTAAAACAGATAAGAGGTTTTTCACACTAATCTTAACATAGTAGCTCATTTGTAAGAGGGTTTTTGGGGGGAGATTATTTTTGTTAAAAAACTGCAAAATAAAGAGAGAATTTCACAATAACTATTTGAAGGCCCTTTAAAGCTCTTCACTATAAACCACAGATATAGAGCCAGACATTTTAAAGACCAATCTATAGCCTTAGAACCAACAAAGAGCAAATGAAATGAGAAAACTCTCATTTGTCTGGTGTTTAAGTTCCTTGGAGTGACATGATTTATATATCCTCACTAACAGGTGACAAACACAAGTAAAGACACGTCCTTAAAGTGGTTCAAGGATGGTGTGGAAGTTAAAGACTTTGATTATGATCAGACATCTGGGGTCAGCTCACTCATAATCCCACAGGTAAGGGGAAAAAGATGAAGCTACCTTGTCTTCCTGTATTAGGAACACCATTCATAAACTGTATATGAGAGACATTTAATGGACTGAGCTTCGACAGTTTGTATAAAGAAATGCTTTCGTCAGTTTTCAGGGTTCATTTTTGTTGGAAATAATAGATAATATAAGCTGTTTTTGTTTTTCCAAATCTATTAAATGATTGACTTTAAACTGACTTTCTTTAGGTGACAAAGAAAGAGGCTGGTTTGTACAGAGCTGTGGTGTCGGACAGTCGAGGAGAAGATGTCAGCACTTTAGAGCTTCTGGACAATGGTTAATCCTAATCTCATCATAAAAATAATATACTTCATCATTCATTCATCCAGCCATAATGCAAATGAAGCCATTATTATTATTAATATTCAGGTTCTGCTATTTTTTTTTTTACAGAATATGACAAGCTTCTTCAGCAGCTAAGTGAACAATGCGGTGAGATCTAAATAGGAAATATTGGTGCCCTGTGTTATCACGTAGGAATGGCATGTTAATTAAACCTTTTCATTCAAGCCACATGCAAATGTGTGCCAATAAAAAATTAATAATAATCTAAAATCCTGTCCACAGCCTTGTCAGCTGGTCCGCTACAGATTGAGAGCACTGCTGAAGGTTTCAAGATCTACTCCTCCCTTAGATACTACATTAGCTTCCTGAAGACAAGCTGGTACCTCAAGTAAGTCTGTATGCAGAACATTGTTCTGTTTAAATATCCTGGGTGAAGCTGATACTTTTGCGTTTCCTTCAAATATAGGGTTCCTCATGTTGTCTTGAAATGCATGTTTTCTAGGTTAAAGGTATAGTGAAAGATTTTGGTGAATTTTTTAAAAGACCTCTTTACTTTAAAAAAAAAATGCATATGCACAACCCTGTACCCACTCCCAAGAGAGGACGACTATTAAAAGTGTGTGAGAGCGTGCATGAGCCCTTTTCCCTTTGTGTATGCTTTGTTTAAAAATTGCTGTTTGCATCGCTCATACAAGCTCACTTCCAAAAGAAGATGTGCAATTTTTCCAGTATGCCAGACTCACCACTGGTAGGTGAAAATGGGGATGACCATGTACTACAGCCTTATATAAACATATCACCAGAATGATTGACAATTAGGAGAACCACTTATTTTGATGATCCACCCAGAAAAAGAACATCATCCACTATACCTTTAAGATAAGTGAATTTCTTATCAACAGCATGCATTATAAACATATGAGTCTCATTGTTTTTGGATAATATATCTGAACCACTGTTCTTTTTTTTTTCAAGGCAGAATGATAATGCAAAATCAGTGATTTGAATTTGTGGATTTTCTCTTATCCCAACAGTGTCAACATCAAATATAACATCTAGATTGCAAAGGGTAAAATGAGTATTAATATGCCTTTTTCAATTTAAATGTGTCTAATGATGTAAATGATGAATAATAAGTAAAATGTAATAAACACAGGCAAAGACATCAAAGCTGATTTGTCAATAAATAAAGTTATAGCTACAAAATGAATTGACCAAGGAAAGTACTGAAACCACAATCAGAGGTTGTGTTTCACACATACATCCACTTTGCTGGGGTGATAATGTGCTGCACAAAGAAGAGCAAACAAAAAACTGTCATGAATCACTTTAGAAATATATACTTAAGAATATATTTAATTGCAAACTTACTAACACACAAACTATGAACATGTAAACTTACGGTACTAACTTTTAAATCTTATACATACCGGATTTGCCAAATTAGCTTTTTAAATCATATTAAATTACATTTTTAAAGTAGAATAACTATTTTTATTTGAATTGATTGGTTAAATTCTATTAAATCAGTGAAAACTGCTGAGCCAAGAGCTTTGAGATGGTTTTAAAAAGCTCAATAATAGCCTGTTTGTTCCATCCTAACACGAGTTTAACAAACTGCTTTTAGCCTGTTCATTCTCAGATGAATGAAAAGGCTGAAAGGTCAAGTTAATCATGTCTCACTATCCTTTAGGGAAGCCAGTTTTACATTGTCGTTAATTGTAAGATGTCGATGAAGAAGGCAGAAAACCTGCTTCAAAACTGCTACCTTCACTCATAGCAAAAATCTGCCACTGGTCTCATGAACAAGACAAAAGCCTTTTGAAAAAACTGTTTTGTTTTCAGTTGAGAGTATTATTTAGCTGTCTGGGCCCAATTAAAAGAAGAATAAGTGGAGGAGTTCAAATTAACCTTTATATTTCTAAACAGTGCTCTAACTGTCATGTATAGTGATGGCAGGATTGTGCTTTAGGGCTTTATCATTGAAAGTGTCCCTGTTGCATTGTACAGTGTGGATAGAATAATGGGGAGGAGGAGGAGAAGGAGGAGGAGGCCTCAGTTCAAATCAGCAGCTAAGGCATAATGACTATTTTCGTTTTTCTGGGTAAAGAGTTTATCTTAGGGAGACTATCATGCCTTTTTTATGGCTTTTCCACAGCAAGAAATTTAGATATCTTCATTGAATAGGATTTTACTTCTCTAATTTAGCAATGTGATAAATTTTAGAATATTGTTAATATTTACCTAGTAATGATGGAATAAGTAAGTCCAGTTCATCCAATGGAATCAGTAAATATGCATTCAACTGATTAGGGCCCTACGCATTATGTTCACCCTGGCATATTAATGTATTATTACAGCATTTAGAAATTTCATGTTTCCAATATTATCATGCAATTTTAAAGGATCAATTCTTATAATTTTCTGTAACAAATGGTGAAAGATGTTTAGGTTTGCTTAGTTTTGTATGCTAACAGTTTTGTAAGCTTTTTCAAAAATTGCTTAATACTTTTGTGTTTACTTAATCTTAGAAACTCTTTTTTTCTTAAGGGGATAGCACCACCTCCTGGAAGAGCAGGGGATATTTAACCATAATTTTTTTTAACTTTGTTGTTGCAGAAATATCTTCATGAAAGATTTCATTAAAAATGTTTTTGATATCAAATAAATTATATTAGATGGAAAATAACTAATACTGATTAAACAACAAAACATGAGTCAACACAGGAGTTTGTGTTTTTTAAGTTGATAACTAAAGTTTAAAAGAAAAATTAGATTATTTTAAAAGAGGAATTTAGGTGACTTTAAATGGAACTTTGCTGTTGGTACCAGTTGAGCTGCTCTGAGTATTTTGGGAAACAGCTGATCTATTGGGACTCTTCTAGAAGTCAGAGATCAGAGGAGCATGGTTGGACTGCTCACAGATGATATAACAAACCACTCATTACCACCATGGTATGCAGAAGGCTAAACTTTACTATATGATAGCACACCTAGTTTCTGAGCTGCAGCAGCACAGTGGCTGTCACCCCTGTAGACTTAGAACCAAATGCTTAGACTATAGATTGGTGCGATCAGCCAAGTCTTTCAGTTATGATATGTGAATATTAGGATCAAAATGTGTCATAAAGGGTATGTAAGCATCCAGCAGTCCTGCCTTTACTCAACAATTTATGGCAGAGGATGTCTGTTAGTCTGAGAGATAACTTCTGCCTCATTTTTAGCCCTTTTGTACGAGTCAAGAATCACGTACGAAATGCTACCAGGGTATCAATGCTGACCACATCCATACCTTTATAAAAATATCTGTCTATAGTATGAGGTTTATTGCCAAATTGGTCACGTGATCATCACAATGGGTTCATTGTGATGTTGAAGATGATGATGATCATCAGACCTCAGTACAACAGATCACCTTTGAAACATGTTAGAATGGGATATTTATGTCATGGATGTTCAACCGGCAGACCTGTAGTAACTTCATGCTGGTAGAATGTCTGTATGGATGATTCATTTATTGACCTTGTTCAATCTGAGACATGAAAATTTAAAGGAAGCCCTGAACGTAAGAGGCATCAACATGGTACCATAAGATCTTATAAAGAGGGAAAAGAGTGAAAAGCATGTATGGTCGATGTACTAAATATAAACAGTAGATCTGTGTTTATCTCCTTGCTTGTAGAGGGAGGAAACTTGACCAGGAGGCCAGGTCAAAGCCTGGGAGTAGCATGCAGAAAGTCTGGATTGAAATCTTAAACCCAACAGAGAGCGACAAAGGGGAATACACCTTGGAGATGTTTGATGGCAAAGAGACACACAAACGTTTCTTTGAACTATCCACAGAAGGTAAGAAGACATTGAGCAGTGGTTAAATAGATTAATGCTAAATGGAAAAACATCTTAGGTAACATTAATTGTTTTCCATCTCTGTGAATCTTCCTGTATCTGTTCACAGCATTTGCTGAAGCCTTGCTGGAACACCAGAGGTTAAAGTAAGTGCATGCAATCCCAGAAAAAAGCTTCCATTGATTGTTGGGTCAATTAAAGAAAGCATGAAAAAGTTCAAGTCACAAAAGATCAATGCAGAGTTAGCTTGCTTGGTACTGCTACAGCGTTGAGTCATCCCAAAGCTGACTGTTTTATTTCTCCCTTAGGCAACAGGCATTTGCTGAAAAAAGTAAGTCCCACGTGATAACTCTATGAAATTCCTTTGTTTATTTCATTTTGAATTATTCTCAGAGATTTTTTTCTGCTCATTTCCAGATCGTGCCAAAGTGATTAAAGGTCTTCCAGATGTTGTAGCCATCATGGAAGGCAAGGTGAGGCTTTGTCAGAGAACACCTTTTGTTATGAAATCCCAGATGTTCTCTATTTCCAATCATTTCTGCTCTCCTCTCAGTCTCTATGTCTGACATGCTTCATTGATGGCGACCCAGCTCCTGAGATCATCTGGCTTCGCAACGATAGAGAAATCCTTGATCAGACTCAGTTTACCATCGTTAAGGAGGCCAAGCGAACCTCCATTACTGTCAACCAGGTCACCACGGAAGATTCTGGAAAGTACAGCATCTTTGTGCGAAACCAGTATGGCTCGGAAACTGTTGATGTGACACTGAGTGTGTACAAGAAGGGCGAGAAGCCTCCAGCAAATGCAGTGGAAATGGGTTAAAACTGCAAACTGCAGGAATCTATTGCTTCAAACTGAGATGTTTTACCTGGTCTGATTGTTTTCATTTAATAGAAGTATTACAAAATAGGAAGTGCTTTGCAGTATTTATATCCCATGAACTTTTTCCACAGTTTGTTGTAAGAGTTGTATGTTACAGAGCAACAGGAGTAGGATACGGTAAGGATGTGTCTTGGGTTATCATTATCATAATTATCTATTTGTTTTTAAGACTGAAACGACAGAAAGACAACATAAAAATTAAACAAGCTAGAAATAATAAATAAAAAAAACATAAAATCTGACAATATAAGCAATCAAATCTGCATCAAAAGACACAGAAGCGTTTGGTCTACTGGAGATATGTTGATGTACCCTCTCTGAGATAAAGAGATGAAGGACCATATACTGTAGATATTATATAGTATATGTATTAAAATCTAAACTAGAAAACCAAAAACTACTCTAAACAAAACAAGCAACCGATGAAAGGAAAACAAATTTCATTCAGATGATTTCATGTCATGTCATCATGTCCCCATTAACAGATGGCCTGCTGCTAAATTGTAAACCAGATGATGACAGTGGAGAGGAGACTGGTAATCCCATTATAGAGATAGAACTGCAATAGTCTAGTATAGAAGTAATAAAAGCATGATGAACCCTCTCAAGGACATTATGAGAAAGATAATATATGACTTAACTAATAAGCCTCAGAATGATAATGGTTATGCCAGCTCTGCAAATCCCATTTTTCTTTGCAAATGATCTAAGTCAGTTTGCATGAAATCCCTCTGCAAACATTAACTATTAATATTTTATATATAAAATAGTATCTATATACAAACTGAATTGAATACAATTCTCGAAACAGATCATACAGTCAGATTGGTTCAAATGAGCTGACTGCCTTGAGTCGTTGACTTTGCAAGAGACGCTCTTCCTGGAGAGCACATGGCAACATTAGATATCTTCTTGCATTGTGTATGATTTTACAGCAATCCCTTACACCAAGCATGCATGCAGTAACAGTGGAGAAGAAAACTCTATTTTAACAGGAAGAAACCTCCTACAGAACCAAGCTCCATCTTCCGAGGGTCAGCTGGGGTTCTAGGAGACAAACAGACATGCAAAAGGAACATAGAAGCACTAATCCGTAAACACTTTGTATGTTAAAGAAAGTAATGGTAAAAAAAAGCTCCATAGGTAGAGTTTTAATATACTCTAGTGCTAGAGTGCATGTGTCTGCCAAACTGAATAAAATGGCTGAATTACCTCCTAAGGCAGTTAAGTTTTAGGAGTTTTACAACCCAGTTATGTTATTTATATTTGATGGCAATTAGATATACTAAAACCAACTCTAGAGGCCTGTAGTTTAACACCTGTGATCTGAACTATTTAAGCGTTTCTCTGCCTCTATGTTTGCTTCATACCTAAATGTATATTAGTTATAGGTGCATTGTCGAAATCAATAACCTCTATTTATCCTGACATCTGATTTCCAGCAAAAAAAACAAATGACATATTTTTTATACAGCTTTGTATAAATTCAGGCATTGTGATTTATGGGTCTCTTATATAAAGCACCTTTAGATCCTTTCACTGTGAAAGGTGATATGTAAGACATTTGATTTATCTTGATTTAGTCAAATAAAAAGCTCCTGTGGATGAAAGTAAGAGTTGCTGAGAAGGTCGTTTGTAAAAACCTTCCTTCTATCCTACTATCATCCAAAATCACCTCACAAACAGAACAATAAACATCACCAAGGGCACCTTTATATCTCCTCCATAAATTCTTAAATGCTGAAAATCCAGCAAACAGTGATGCAGTGCGAAAAGCTAAACCTCTGGTGTTCCTCCTACTTGCTGAATAAGAAGCACTAAACACAAGATTTTCTCTTACAGTGTTTTAGTTCTAGCTTTTATTATTTATTATCGCACACTAATTTGAGTAAACTTTATAGTGAGTCTAGAATGTAGGTGTTTTTCTCCTATATTTGTTTAAAATGTCTTATGTTGATCCCAAAGAAGCACTCTTCCGTTTAGCTGCACCAACATTCTACAATAATAAAATCTGACCCACAATAAAATTTAATGTGAAAACATAAAGGTGATAAAGGTTCATGAGGTACAGAAATCACTGTTTAGTGCATGTGCAACTTCTTTACGTTCTGCTAATTTAGCTCAAATTAAACAAACCACCAGAAAGGATTGCATTGTTTTATTTTGTTTGCTGTTGTTATGGTATTCTTGCTTGTGTTGCTTCTCTCTTTGAGGTAGAAATAAAAATCTACTTGACTAGCCTTCCTTCTAAATTATCTTAATGCTCAATTTGTTTTTAGGCTTTTATTCTAAAGATAGCACTTAAGCTTTAGGCCTGTGTTTATAGTTCAACGAATGTATTGGTTGTGTTGGTAATAAAGCTGTTTTCAATTACCGTATTGGGATTATTTCTCTTTTGAGAAAAAAAAGCAGCATTGTGAACACTATGATGAATAAATGATTAAAAATGGACAGTTAGTTATTGTGTGTAATGTTGCAACAGCTTTGGTCACTTTCAACTGAAAAGCAAAGTCCCCTGTGTCATTAACCCCATTATTTGGTCTCAACTGTAAGGTAAGATCCATATTTGGATATTCAGCGGTACACTGAGGACAACCTGCAGAGATGAATTAATCTATTGAGCAACGATCTCAGCAAAAACTAATTCAAAATTAATTTGAAAAAATGAATGCAAGTCTAGACGGTTTTATGCATTAAAATATGATTCAATTCTTACAGACAGGAGACAATCACATTTTCTGTTTTCCAAGCTCCATTTTCATCTTGTCTTCAACCGTAAAATAGATAAGAACAATGCATAAATACTCTGAATATTTTTTTAAACATATTTTATAGATGATGTGTTGTGCATTGTATAGAATTGCTAATTAAAATTTTCCTCTACTGAGCCTGAGGCTTCAACATGCAGGAGTAACTGAACTCTGGGTTGTTTAAACAATTCTCAGAGGACTTTGTAACTCATTGCACAGAGGACTGTGAATCCCTCTGTGGCTATAAAAAGGTGCAGGAACGCGCCATTCTTCTTCACATTGTGCTCAGCTTCACGCAGCCATCTCAGCTTCCAGCTACTTTGGTCAAGGAGAACCCAGACCCTCTTGAAGACATGGACCTCAACGGAACATGGCAGGTTTACTCCCAGGAGAACTACGAGGAGTTCCTCAAAGCCTTGGGTGAGAAAAGCATTTACAAATTTTACATCAACTAAAGTCATATAATTTATGCAAGGTATATTTCATCTTGGGCAGATTACAACTATTTTTTTCTACTTTACAGAACTCCCAGAAGATGTTATCAAGATAGCCAAGGACATCAAACCTATTACTGAGATTAAGCAGACAGGCAATGACTTTGTCATCACTTCTAAGACACCTGGAAAAACCGTGACAAACTCCTTTACCATCGGAAAAGAGGCTGAAATTACCACCATGGGTGGCAAGAAGCTAAAGGTTACTAAGTTTTCCTTATCTTCTTTAATGAGACACACATCGTGAGCCAAGGCTACTTAAACCATCTGTCTATATCCCTTATAACCAGTTTATTTATGTACTTTTTTTGTTTTGTTTCACTGCTTTATTATCTGCTATTATTTGACTGTTTCACTGTTGGTTCTGAATCCTTTCCTCTTATCTTTAATCAGTGCATTGTCAATTTGGAGGGAGGCAAACTGGTCTGCAAAACCGGCAAATTCAGTCACATACAGGAGCTCAAAGGCGGAGAAATGGTTGAGGTATGGTGCATTCCAGTAATTTTCTTGCACAATCATATTTATCAGAGAGAAAGCTACACATCAAGCTTTTTGACTGTTTAATTACAACCTCTGAAATAATATTTGCTTTCTTTGTCTTTTTTAGACTCTGACGGTGGGCTCAACAACTCTTATCAGGAAGAGCAAAAAGATTTAAATCTGGGAGTGACAAAGATACAATGTCTATTTAAATAAAGAAAGGCTGTGTAATGTGTTTGTATTGTTTTATGTCCACATGTGTTTAGTGGGAGCTAAACTGACGAGCTTAAAAAAAGAATCAAATCCACAACACAGGCAGAGCTTTACAAAGAAAAAGTTAAAACACATTTAGTTTATCCAAATAAAAAATGAAAAAGGTTCTTCTGGTGGGTTTTATATGGACCTTCAGTTATTAAAGATTCAACATCTGGACATAAACAGTCCCTAACAGACCCTAAATTTAAATCTAAAGGGGAATAAACAGCTGGCAACGGCATATACATACATATATCATTACATCTTTATGTACATTATGGCGTATGTGACCGATGGGTAAATAAGTTGGCAGTAAATTTTGATTATAAAGTGAGGGTTATTAGATAAGCTAACACAGGTGAATAAAATCAGTAAAAGGAGCAAAAAATAAACAAAGGCAGGATAGATGTTTGTGAAAAAGATGCAGTTCCAGTAGTTTTCATTTTGAGCAGAATTTAATTTAATGCAAATTTGCATTTACTACTATATAAGTTTTTTTTTTTTTTTTTTTTTTTTGGAGTGACAGATGTGCAGTAATAATTTTCAGTGTTGTGACCTATGAAATACTGCACAATACTTCTAGAAATGTCAACCTTTATCTTAGAAAGCCAAATAAGCACATTTCATCACTGGTATATTTCCATGTGTTTGAGTAGAGGGTCAGATAACAAGGTTTTCATGCTGTGAATACCAAGATAATTAAGGCAGACAGCAATAGTTAACAAATATATTCCGATCATGATTATTGAGTCTGAGACCGCTGCAGAGATATACACTATGTTTCTTTATGTAGTTTGCAGAACAATAGTTTATACATTATATGAACTACTTTTAAATGCATAAGATCAACAAAATAAACTGGATTTTTCCTTAAACAAATTGTAATTCAGGATAATTTTTCATAGGTCACAGTGGCCCTGAGCTGAATATAATGTAAAACAAGCCCCCTTTGATGTTTTTACTGTTTGCATTGAATGTCTTTTTTTAAATATTGCTGCTTTGGTTTAGTTTTTGGACCTGAAATGACCCATTAGCCACATTCAGGTCAATATCTGGTAGATATTTCATTAACTGAATTCACAGCAGTAAGCCTTGGACAATGTGTCTCATTTTAGCTGGCACATCCAGACACATAAAATGTGTTGCTCTGTCAGGTTCCTTTGTGACCAAACACCCGTTTTTTAATCTAAAAAAACACTTCATGGCATTTAAATCTTGCCCTTGATGATCAGAACAGTTTTAGAAAAACATCAACGTGTCGTTTGCTGCATGTAGAGTTATAGTTTTGGTGGAAAGGAGGGCTTCCTGTCATGCAGTTTCCTGCTTTTAGAGTTCCCCTCTACATCTGCAAACCTCCTGCTAAGAAGCTGCCACCACCATGCCTTAGGGGAGAGAAGACTGTTTCTAATGGGGTGTGAGGACTGATACGCTCTATTTTTGTACCTTTACATCAAAAATATTTTCTTAGAGTGTCAGAGTTCAGAGTTTTTTTTTTGTCTGTTTTTTAGAAATTTAGAATGTATACCATACCTTTTAAACGTAGGAAGTTAGACTATAGGACAGTGTGATTATTGTCTAAACTGTATTGCATTATAATATATCAATATCATATATTAATATATCTAAACTGTATATATAAACTGTCTAAACAAATGTATTTGTTTAGATTTAATTGTTAAAATGTTCTCAGGTAACCTCAAATTCCCTATCTGCATTGACACTGCTGACATCGGTAATCTAGACCTCCAATAAATTAGGTTATTCACTCTAGATACATCTTCTTGTCTAAGGTGACAATTTATAATGAAGGTGCTTTACCATACTTACTATGCTCCATCTTTTTGTTACAGGCAATGTTTTTGTTTCTGTAGGGATCATAGAAATACATTTTACTGCACTGATTGTTTTTTTTGTTGTTGTTTGTTCTTTACATGGGGGCACCGGACAAAAGATTCCAAGCAAATATTTTATTGTTACACATGTTAGTAAAAGAGCCATTTGCTGGAAGCCTCAGATATACCAGATTGAAATTGTGATAGTATTATATGTGATTAGTATGGCTGAAGCTAAAACTGCAATATTTCAATTTTTAGATAGAAGATAAAGATAAAATTTGCAGTTGTTCCAAGAGACTTACAATTTGTTATTTCGGTTCCAGTGGAAATCATAATAGGTGAATTACTGATTGCAAAATTTCTAAAACATCTTTATTATTAATTGCATTGTAAATTTTCTCTGAGATAGGTGATATGACAGATTTATAAAGGTTTAACTGTTTTAATATTGTTGCATGGAATAAAGGACAGTAGTTTAGAGCACTTAGATTAATTTCCACTGATACCCTCATCCTTAGTAAAATTTCAATGGAGGTTAAGACATAAAGAGGCAGACTAACCACTTAAAAATATTCAACAGGTAATTAACGAATTTTCCATAAAGCCAATCTTCTCATAAAAAACATTTTTGTAATAAACTAGTATTAGCTTAGTGAATTGACCTCCTGAGAACATAACTTTTCAATGATACTCTGTGTCTGATCTGCCTGTATGACTAGAATGCATTGGAAGGCATTTAAAATTGGTTTGGTTTGGTTAATTGTAGACTAGTAAATTCCAATTCACATTTGCTGTAAATATACATTTACTTTACTGATTTTTTTTAGTGACAGGAGGTATTTTTGGCCAGTTTTGGCCAAGTTTTTTAGCTTCATTTTATACTATGTGCCGACATCAATGGACTACAAAGTATATATTATTTACCTTAAGAGTCTTAAAAAAAATAGCGTCCCTGTTTTGTTCAGATGTTTATCCAAAAGGCTTCACCTAACACATTTATCTAGGTTATTTATTGTACCATAACCCATTACAGTATCTTTTAATCCAGGTGCATCATCTGTTAGGTCATTTTTTCCTGAGGTCTGAAATAGCAAGTGAAAAATAAAAAACAAGAAATGTTGAAAAATATTAAAATGTCAGATTTTTCTTCAAACACAACTTAGAATAATTTAACCAAAAGAACCATTTTCCACTGAGCTAATAATAAAAGCAGTTACAAACCAGACAGAAATAAGGATTCCCAGACACATATGGGGGGAGGGGAGGGATTTATTTTATTTTTTATGGTACTTTGTTGTCAAATTAAGAACACATTCTTTTTCATTTTGGGCATCAATTAAAACCAATTGTTAACAGGGCACATCTATAAATATTTGGTGACATATCAAGGGGAAACAAATTAGAAGCCAATTGTTTTAGTCTGTTGCAATTTAGAATATGGAGACTTTGTTATGCAATTTGACTGGAAAAAAAAAACGAAGAAAAACCAAAAAGTGAAATTCTGTAAATTAAGAACACTGAGCAGAGTTTAACTTTCAGGTGGCGGAAGATCACCTGAAAGCTAAAAACAACAAGTTGGTGGAAATCGGCGAACAAAATACAGGAGTTAAACTTAGGCACATTTGTCAACTGAATTTAGATCAGAAACAGTCAAGTTGATTCAAAACTTCAAATCCATACATAAGAAAGTCTCCTTTAAGCCAATTATTTTTTTTTGTCCTTTTAATTTCGTTTGCATCTAGCATCTTTCATCCTACACTGTGTCATATAAAACAATAAAAAACGTGCAAGATCTCCGTAAAGATAACAGTGTAGGGTGCGGCATATGCTATAGGCGAGGGAGATTTTTTACGTTTTTTTAACAAAAATATTCTTCAGCATTGAAGTTAAGACATTTCCTTTGCATGTCTTATACATTCAGTGTTATTACTAAAAATACTTTTGTCAGACAGGCATCAAAGGTGGCCTGTAAATGTACATATGCTACAAGAACTTTTTACATTTCATTATATACATGGCTCCTGACCACAATAACAATCGCTTTGTTTTGTTATTTTCTATGCTGGCCATAAACAGCTTCAACTCTGCAAAGGGAAAAACAAAACAAAAAAACAAACGAAAAGAGTCTCAACAGAGGACCAAAACTCACAACAGTATTCATAAAGATAGTCCATTGCATTTCCATCATTTCAATAGCATCCCAACCTGCCATTCAGGGTAAGTCAGATTACAGTGCAAGAGGGTAAACAGGCAGCGGCAATAGGCAACAAGCGTGCCGATGATTGGATGGTCAGTAAGAGAGGATTTGTAAACAAACATCCGCATTCTGTCTCATGCAGAGACCCTCGGGCGAACCATCGCTAAAGTTAAAGCGCCTCCGTTCTCTCACTTCAGCACAAATGGCTGCAGCTCACAGGAGCACGTTTTGGTGCATACCTCTTCCGCAAGTTACAGCTGCACCACTGCGCTAAAGAGAGACACTGAGGGGTAGTAACAGTACTGATTGCAAAGATGAACAGCGAGGAAATGTCCACTCACCACTGAGGCAAAGTACAAAGAGTGGAAGTTATTGACCACACAGAGGGTGTGAAAAATATGCAGCAAAAACATTGCTTTGGTTACACAGTGCTTTCAATCGCAACAAAAGGACTTGTACAAAATAATGCTTTGATAGAGTGGAGCAGGCTTTGGACACTCAACTCCTATAGTGCATGTGCGCACAGCGCAAAGAAAAGAGAAGTACAGGAGTTGGTTGTTCAAGGCCTTTGTGCTATGGTCTCTTTATTACCCCTTGAGGTCAGTCTTTCAGCTTGTCCTGTACATGGCTAATAGCATGTCAAATAAAATAGCTTTTTCCCTGCAGAACTGCAGTCGAGTGCCTTTTTCCATTCCAAACAAGGAAAGTGATATCTAGGAATCTGGGGAAGGGGGGCTTTAAAAAAATGCTACAAATATGAACCTGCTTTAGCACCTGAATCTTCGGAACTCACTCCAAAGGTTCAACTTCAAAACATGTGGAAATAAAGTGTCCGTCCACAGAAATGGACCATAAAGGTGATGCATTTTACCTGACCTACAATAAAACCCCTATTTGAGGAAAAAGGACACTCAGCCTGCGTTAACAGCCAACACTAAAAAAGAACAAAACAAAACAGAAGTTTAAAAAAAAACGGATCCAGTCATCACTTAAAGAAACTGGCTCTACTTAAGGCATTACCAACCAGCACCGCTAAGTGGCTGTAATATCTTTTATAGCTGTTGTTTTTAATTCATCAACAGTATTATATACCCAACTTTAAGAGGTTTTAAAGCCAAAAATGACAAGAATATTACAACCACATGGCAGCTCGAAAGGCAAATACCTAAAGAGAGTCGCAGTACATTGGCTCGATATAAATTTGAGGTGGATGTTTCGATCTTAAGCCTGCACTTTCAGGAGGCTCTTTAGCTGGAAGGCCATCATCTCCCTGTGATCACAGGATCCCATAGGGAAAGACACCCAATGACTGGGGGGTTTGGGCAACACACTGGGTGAGGGGGGCTCACTGAACTTAGGCCCTGCATAACTCGGGCTACCCTGAGCTGCTAGCAGCGTATTAAGGTGAGACACTGCACCCTCCCAGTTCTGATCATAGGTGGTGGTCAAACGGATAGAAGCATTCTTCTCCGCAGACGCGGCCTGCCGTGCCTCCGGAGACCTGTGGTAGGTGGTGCCCTTGTCGTTCCGGCGGTGACCATGATGATGAAGGCCCCCCGCCCCTCCCATAGACACTACTACGGCTGCCGCTCCACTCTGGTCGCGGCTCCTCTGCTTGGCCTTGCCGAACTGGTGGCTTTTCTTGGGGCGTTCGGGGTGGGAAATTGGAATGTTGTACCTCTCTCCACCTCCCATGTTTCTGTATTACCTGTCACCTAAAGGATGAGATCATATAGTCACTTCAGTGCATAGTTGAAGAAACACATTGCATTCGTGTGGGAAGTAACAAACATTGAACACCAATGGCGTAACTATCGGTAAGCAGACACTGCAGTTGCTTAGGGGCCCCGTCACTGAGACCTTGTTGGCCCCCTATGCAGAATTGTGGAATAGGATGTTTCTTTGCAGATGTCATGGTGCAAAAATTCCTCTTAAACTCACCTGACTAGACTACAACACATGGCAGATTTCAACATGATGGTGAGTCGCTTAAACACGACTCCAATAGCAAAGCAGACAGTGGTACTTTTAATTACTATGTTAATAAAATATTTAAACCGTAACAAATATCTTAAAAAAACAATGTACTTGAGTATTTTATTTTTTATAATTCGAGGAATTATGGGTAATCCAGACCGTCAACTAAAATCATAACCGTTAAGTACAGCGCATTAGCTATGATGTGTTGTACTTCATATGGGCATATTTTGTCGTGTCTTACGCCATTGCTTTTTCTTTATTTAATATCAGCTTCCTCTAGGAGTGGAAATTTCTTTGAAATCGGAAATAAAAGGTCTGAATGTCTACAATATTCATTAAAAAAACAAACAGAATACCATGACAAAATGTGATGCAGACCCCTATCTTTTCAAATCTAAAGATATTTAGAAAAAAATCTGTGTAAAATTCAGCATATGAGGGAATATAGCCTATCCATAGAACTGGAAAACAACAACAACAGCACCAGCAGCAGAGTCTACGTGCAGGAAAGGCAGACATTCAGGCCCGCTCCACCCCTCCCCCACACCCAGACAGACCAAGAAGCCAAACAGCCCCAGCTCACCTCTTTGTTGTTAGGCTGAAGACGACGAGATCTTGCTTTAATCTTTCACCACCAATCGGTCCCCAGGTCCTCGAAGTAGTTCTCTGTCTACTTCTCGCTGCACTTGTGAGTCCAGCAAGGTCTGAGTTTCTCATGTGCCAATGATCTTTGTTTTGCCGTGAAGCCGAGTTGAACATCAATTCACCTCGGCGCACGATTCTCAAAGAAGCCGAAGCTGGAAAAAAAAGAAGAAGAATTGCTCATTAATGCGTCAAAAATAAAAACAATAACGTAAATAATAATAAATATACTTCCACGGCTAAACAAAGCATTAGCGAGGCTTTTGTGGAGAGTTTCGCCAAGTGCGTCATCAAGATAATGCATCGAACACCATTCCTCCTTTCTTTCTTTTTTTTTTTTTCATTAATTACACGTTAAATACCGTAAAACATGTAATTTATAAAACCTTACAAGATCTAACATAATAATACTGTTTAAAGATCAATTGTAAAACATTTGTTTTTATAGAAAAAAAAATAAAAACTTAAATCACATTTTAATTTAAAACTTACTGTTATTAACTGATAAATACAAACACTATTATATTTAAGTGCATTTAAGAGTAACTTTGGAACCGAACCAAAACAAAGAAAGCTAATTCAATATGGCGACCGCATAAAAAAACAAGTTCCCCTTACCGACTTCTTCAGGCTTTGTTGTTGAAGCCTTTCGTCAAATAATATGTATATATGTATAGGTAGCCTCGGATTCCCTTCGGCAGACAATGTAGGAAGCACAGCAAAGCTATATTTCCTACAAATCCGTCACTCTCGAAGCTTAAATGTTGTTACTAGTGGCCGTAAAGGCGCCACTTCTCCCTCCCGACACTGAACTGCAACAAAATGGAATCTGCAGCGCATATATGTATTCCTTGTTCTGAAAGTTCTAACCAATCGCGTCGCGAGAGGTTGAGAGGACCGACCAATAAGCGACAGAGAAGCAAAGACATCTGCGCCTGTTGCCACAGCGTTGACGTAGGTTGGTGTTTCTCCTCCCATTTCCTTTGTTGGTCCTGCTCTCGGGTATTTCCTGAGTGAAGTCAGAAAAACAACGCTTAAACAGCCTCGAAAACCGCACAAATTTCAAGTTAAACATAACCAAAAAACCCAATTTGACACAAAACACCGTCACACGTATGCAGTGTCATAATATGAACTGTTATGTTTTTAACAAATAAATACATTTAAGATTAAAATACTTTTTCTTAATTGTTTTTTGAACAGTTTCTTTTCATTTTTTTGGTGGGGTGGATACTTATCAGTGTGGATTAAATTTGCTGTTTGATAGCAACAGGTTGTACTAAATCTTGTTAGAAAATGACCATCCCCCCCATCCCTGGTGACGTAATATAAGGCGATAAAACATGTTTCACTGAAACCCATTTTGAATTCTCTTTGTCACTTAACTAAAAGTTTCCACCTGTCCCATCTGTTTGCTGCTTGAAGTGATACTTTCTATATTTAATGGCTGGATGTGACTATTTTTGTGAAAATCCAGTGTAAAAACTGAAGGGGTGTCTCACTCAGATAGTATAGGATTTTGTTTAAGGCCTAAATATATGGGGCCTTGTGGCAAATAGTTTAAAATAATTTTGTGAATCTCGGTAAAGCTTCACCTTAGAACTTTTACCTGAATATTTCCCTTACTTTTTCTTTTTCTGCCAGAAAAATAATACCTTCTCTTTTTTTTTTGGTTCTAAAACAGGTCCAAACTTAATCCACTGGAAAAATACATTATAGTATTTTTTATTTTATTTTTTATAAGAGATTAAAGCATTATTCTATATTTTGGGGGGCCTCAGTCAGACAGAATGGGGAATCTGAACAGCAATGTTTAAAATAGATTCTGGTTGGCTCTTTTAATAGAATAGAATAGAATAGAATAGAATAGAATAGAATAGAATAGAATAGAATAGAATAGAATAGAATAGAATAGAATAGAATTCAACTTTATTGTCATTACACTGTCACAAGCACAAAGCAACAAAATGTAGTTTGCATTTTTCCAGAGGTGCTATGCAGGATGTACTTACATGTGTACAGAGACTATGTATGGCCTATAAATAGTATATATAAAAAGAGAGTAATTGTAAGAGGCTATAAAATTAAGAATTATGGAAGCTATGTACAGATTATACAGGAAGTTAGGATATGGATTATATGTATATTTGGGGGGGGGTTATAATAGAGGATAAATAAGGACAGATAATAGCAGATAAAATATAAAAGATTATATACAGCTATAGTTGAGAAGTATGTGTGAGTAGTGTTGATTGTTGTGTCTGGACCTTTCTAAGGCCCCGTCCACACGAAGTCAAACCCTGGCCTAAACGCACAAATTTTTCACCAAACCAGCCTCTCATCCATACGAAGCCGGCGTTTCGGGGGTCTCTCTTTGTCCTTTTTTTTTAATAAGCCTTCA